ACCGATTCCACACTCTGTGTCTATTGGTTTTTGCCGAATAAGCACAAATTAAATTGTATAAATAATAAAGCGCAGGCTAAGGCAATTGGGCATAAAATAAATCAGCTTAAAGCAGAGCAAAATGTGAAATGCAATCGAGTCTGGGGCAATCAATACAAACACAAATACAAATACAAATACAAACGCAAATACAACTGCAATAACAACGGGCCCCTTAAGTATTAAATTTGAGCGTGTGTGTGTGTGTGAAAACAAAACAAAAATTGTATACAATATGGAAAAAGAAAGCGCATAATTGAATAAATAATAACAAATGGGGGCGAGTCTCAATGACAAAAGCCACCGTTGGTTCCAAAGCGAAATGCAAGATAAACGAAAATATGCATGCCTGACGCATTGTTTACGCGATTTTGCAATTACACACACACGCACGCACACACGTGCAGACAGCAAGAAACAGTTAACTGTTGTGATTGTGGTTGTGCGGGTGCATTGGTCCCAAGGTTTCTTTTGCAGCGAAAGAAAACGAAAAGAAAAATGTAAAACTAACCGCATTGCAAAAAGGCACGCACAGCAGGACAGGGCAAATCAAATTAGCAGCAGACAACAAAATGTGCAAAATTGTTGGGCACGCCCTTGAACTTGCGATACTCCCCAACCCTCTTCAAAACAGGGAAGTGAAAACCGGACCAAAAGCCGAAGAGCACTTCGCTCAGGGGCTAAAAAATAATCAAATCGTTAAATTTGGATATTAACACTAAAATTCAGTCTCGCCTATTAATAAAACTTTTATTATTATCATAACGTTTTATATATTGATTTGCTGCTGGCCAACGATTATCAAAAATATGCATTAAACCAGGGATACCAAACGTGCTGGAAATGTACCAAAACTATTTGATTTTTATGCAATGGTACACTGCCCATTTTATTTCCACTATATATTTAACAAAAGTTTTGCAAATAGTAATAGCAAGTATATTTTAATAAAAGGTACCTCAAATCTTTCATACTTTCTTGAGAAAGAGAGAATCGTTCTACACTTCTTAACGGAATTGTAGTCTTCGGGATAGAGTGAGAATCCAATTGTCATTTAATGTTGTTCAATGCCATAATGGTATATGTCTATAAAAATAGCTTTATTTAATAGTTTTTGAAAATTTGTTGACAAATTTTAATTACACATTTGTTTCCCTTTCCCTTAGAGCCTTTTTGCTAGATGGCCCTTTTATACAATTTTAATGATATTAATTAAACCTTCAAGAATCTATTTTATTCTGTCTTCCCCTTTTGCCCAACTATAAAAGGGTACTATAGTATTTTCCTTGTGCTTACAGTTAGCTTTCTAAGGACTCTCACACACACACACACACATACACGTACAGAAAAAGATGTTTAACTTCATGAAAAAGAGCGCCGGCGATGAGGAGAAGGAGCGTCGCAAGCGTGAAAAGAAACTGCGCAAAGAGGCTAAAGGCGTCAGCGGGGGTGGCGTAACTGGCAGCATGAGCACCGACGAGCTGCTGCGACTGGAGGAAGTGCGTCGATCGCTTAAGATACGCGGTCGCCGCAAGGAGAAGGAAAAGCTGCCCAGCGGCATTACAGCCGACTACAGTGCGGATTTCTTTGCGGCCCTCAACGCCGATGCGCCCAGTGGTAATGGCAATGGCAATGGCAACGGCAACGGCAATGGAAACGGCGAGCCAGAGCAGGATCGTGGCAATGAGGAAATTGTAGCATCTGTGATGACACACATCGAAAGCCGCAGCGCCACCAATGGGGCTGGCATGGGCATTAATCTGAACTACGCCGAGGTCACACATTCTCTGCTCTCCGGCGGGCTAAAGGTGAGTATCGATTGGAATTCGAGCTTTCAGAGCATATTTAAATAAATTATTGATATACTGACAGAATCGCTTTTTGCCGCCGGTGCCGCCAAAGCCGCCCAAGCGCGGCATTTTGAAGGGGTCCCGCAGCAACATGACCAACGTGCATGAGGAGATTGTCTTCACCGGCAGCAGCGGCGGCGGCGGCACGCCCGAAATGCTGATGCGCAACACCTTGCAAAATGAACAGCTGTTTGAAGGCAACCGTGGCGGCGGCAGCGGTGGCTCCAATTCTAGCCAGCACGGCACCTCGTTCACCTCCGTGGAGAGCCTGCGCAGCGATGGCGACCATGCCCCACAGCAGCGCGCCATGACGCTGCCGGCGAATGCACGCTATTGTGCACCACAGACGCCCACACAGGCTGCCCATTTGCATGTGCTGACATCGCCGTCGCCGAGTGCGGACAGTCTCACAGATACCACAAACTCCTCGTTCGCCACGCCCCCATTCTCGCTCAGTCCCGTGGGCGAATCGCAGGGCATCGATCGCTGGGCCCGCGTGCATGCCTTTGAGGATGTGCAGCTGCCGTTGCCACCAGTGCAGCTGGTGCAGCTGCCGCCACCCAGGCAGCTTGTAATCAGGCGACAGAAATCACCACGCCAGGACTTTGGCTTCAGTCTGCGCAAGGCCATTTGCTTGGATCGGACCGAGTCACTGATGTCACCCATTTTCCGGCCCGTCATCTTTGCGGAGCCGGGTGCAGGAGGTGGCGCCACGGGCCTCTTGCCTGGCGATCGATTGATCAAGGTCAACGGCACGCCCGTGGGCGACTTATCGCGCGAGATCATCATCGAGATGATACGCAACAGTGGCGATGCTGTCACCGTTGAGGTTCGTAACACAGATTTTCGAATCCTTGCCACATAGTCACATTTGTCAAAATCCTTTGTTTTTCCACACCCAGGTTCAACCCGTGGCGGAGCTGGTGGAGCTAAGCAAGCGCTGCATGGCGCCCAGCACAGCCACCGTCGAGGAGGTCGATCATTCCATTAACAATGGCAACTGCAACACTTTGCGCCGCAGCGCCAGCAAACGCTTCAAGCGTCAGGTAAGATCACAAGCCAGGTCTGCAGCTCAAACCTAATCCATTAGCGACTTGGTGATTAATGTGAATTGCGGTCTGTAACATACACAAAATCATAATTGCTCGTAACTGTTCATTAATCACGTAATGCTCATACAATATCTCAAGTAAGACTGGTTTCCAAGAACCCATTAGTATTCACGGGTAAGGGTATTCACGTAGATTAGGTCAGGTTCAGATGGGAGTCGTTCAACCAATTGTTTTAAGGCGTGAATCTATATTTTCCCCTTTTACGCTAGCAAAAGGAAGTCCATACAGGAATAATGCTAGTACTAGAAATTCCAGAGGAGTCTTCACAGGAAAATACCGACATTATTTTTGGTGTTAAGGAACTACTCCTTATAACGATGTAACTCAAATGTGGATACAAAACAAATGTAACAAATGTAAAGCAAATTGAAAGTAGATTCTTTGGTTAACCTTGAAGATGGGCTATAGTAACTGGTTAAATCATTCAATTGTTCGTTCTTAGACAAAACTTCCTTACATGGAGTTTTTTACATTAACTATATTGATTTATATTATTCGATTTTCTTTTGCTCTCAGTGCTTAACAATTTAGGCAAATGGATTTTTATTTGTAATATGGTGGAGGCATACTTTTAACATAAATACCAAGCAAGAAGAAGCAAAATTATATTCAAATGTTAACTTCGTTAACTAATCTCACCTAAGCAATAATTATTGAGGCTGGTTAGGAAAGTTTGTAACTTCAATATTGTTAAAATTTACCTTTGTTATTGTTATTTTACAATGTTAAGTGTCACCAAATCCTACCTCACCAAATCTTGCTTAAGATTTTCATATATTTATGATTATTTTTATTTCCGATTTGAATTTTTGTCACAATTTTGATGTCCAAGTTTTGTTGCATAAGCTGACAAAACTCGCAAGTAGCAAGGTTTATTTTGCTTCTTACTTTAACAATATTTTCAAATCGGGATTTAGTCCTCGGGAACCCAGTATTATTTAATAAAAATATGACCAAGCTCTCTATATTTTGGAACAGTTGCCAGCGAGTCTAAAGAAAAGCCTACAAAATATGTCGCAGATAAATCAGTTTTTGATTTAAATACAGTTTATATAATCTCAAGAATTACGGCTACAATTCACACATAATTTGTTAAAAAAAAAACAAATAGCAGGTCATAATAATAATTATTTTTCATTGCCAAATCTCAAGCTATATGCTTCAAATTGAAAGCCAACTCCTAGATAACATGTTTTTTAGCAAATTTCGATCGAGGCCTAATGTACAGGGTAACTCACCGTCGAGCACTTGCAATTGAAATCCCTATTAACTTGTTGACTTTAGCCGCGGTTAGAAACGTGTTTGACATTTTTCACTCTGTTTATCTCTGTCGCAAATGTGCTGTAAAGTTGTCAGCACCTGAACGATCAGTCGGCTGAAATTCCAGGCCCAACCCTTTCCAACACTAGACGCAGCCCGTTTCCAATTGGAACTTTGTTGTTGTTGATGTAGTTGCTGCTCTTGTTGTCGGGCTATGTCATAAAGGCGTCGACATATTTGAGCGCCTTATTCACTTCATTCAGCAGACGAAAATAAAGCGATTTGGCAACACTGTGGAAAAAACTCGAACTGCATTTTAGTAAACATCATTAACAACATGCTGCATGGCTCCCCAACACGCTGCCGATACCCCAGACCGCCATGTGCCAGCGGCAACACGAACAGCCGCAGACAAGCAGCGAACATTGACGACGACGTCGACGCCAGCAGCAGCAGCAGCAGATTCAACAGCAGCAGCAGCAACGTCGACGGCAGCAGCTGCAGCTGTGTGCATTTTTCTACACCCACTTTAGACTGCGGCGGCTGCCTACACAAATAGCCGCAGTCGCGGTCGACGTCAACTATGCAGCGCTGTCTGCTTGCTTTAGGTTTTTTGTTTTCCTTTTTTGTTGTTGTTTCTCGCTTCGTCGTGGCTGTCGTTGGAGCAGTGCTGTCAGTACGCTGCAAACTCTGCCCAAGTTCGGTACGGAAATCGAAGCGCGAGACACCCACTGTGAAATTTCTATACGGGATTACAGCAGCAGCAAAGCAAGAGCAACAACTACAAAGACAACAAAAACAACAGCAACTTCAAAAATTCTTGTCATTCAAGCTGGCTTTAATAGTTAATTCATAACTCGCGTTGGATTCGCGTTCGTGACTCGAGTCTTGCATTTCAATCAATCAATCAATCGCTGATCGAACGATGATTGGCCATTTTCAGCTATTTCAATTGTCTCTAATGTCAAAGCGCTAAGTGCCCGAACTGACAGAGCCACACACACACACAGAGATAGAGCCACAATAAGATTGTTGAGTCTGTGTTGCGACTAACGTTTCCAAGGTTTTGGGCGCGCTCCAGTTTCGCACTTACTTCCCGTTTCACATTGTGCGTCTCTGGCCTGATCTTTGTGGGTCTGGTCATGCTCCAAGCACTGCTGGCAGCTGGCCATGACAATTGTTTGCATTTGGCTTAGATCTAAGTACTAGGCGATCACATAACAAGCACACATACACACACGGACCAACAGTCAAGCAAACAGACTCGCGCGTTTTTCTATTTTTTTTTTTATCATGTTTCTCAAGCCCAAGAGCTTTGAGCAAACGCTGCGCGGCGGCATTGTGCCTGCCGTGCCCGCGGCGCCGGGCTCCGGTCTAAATCCATCCTTTCATCGAGGCTGCACGGGCAAGGCTCACGCCTGCGGCACCAGCAAGTCGCAAAAAAACGCGGCCACGCCCATTAAATCAAAGACCACACCGAAGGCGCAGCGCAAGAACAGCATTAGCTCGGAAACGATCAGTGAAAGCGGCTCGGAGAACTCCAGCAGCTGGCCATCAACAACAACAGCGGCTGTCACGCCCACGCCCGCGTCGGCAACTGAGCCGCCGCCACCGCCACCCAAGCCACCGCGTCTGGCGGCCAGCAGGCAGGGAGCCAAGGAGGCAACTCCAATAGCTGCTGCCAGCCTCGAGCGCAACTCCATACGTTCGCGCAGCTTTCGCCAGAGTGGCAAGATCAGCACAACAGCAGCAGCAACAGCAACTGCTGCAGCAGCAGCAGCAGCAGCAACAACAACTACCGCAGCAGCAACGACAACCTCGATACGTCCGCCCTGGAACAGCTCCGCAATAGCTGCATCCAAATATGTGGCAGCAGCAGCGCCACCTTCGCCCGTACCCAATCTACGCAGTTCTTATCGACGCCGTCGCGATGCCCAAAACGCTGCCCAGCAATGGCCGGCCATCTGGGCCAACTCGCTGGCTTGCAACTACAAAAACTATGATGCAAGCGTCAGGCAAAAGGTGCGCATAATATGATTACACTCGACTACACAAAAACAGAAACCAAATGTTGACACGCAATGTTTTCTTGCAAATCGGCTGACATAAAGAGACTTGGGAGACTAACAAAATGTTTCAATAGCAATTAGGCCCCAAAAATTAGATCTATAGATGTCTATAATGAAATCGTCTGCAAGTATTTGAAGAACCGAATTCTGTTTGTATTTCTGTTTTTATTTTAATGCAATAACTATTGGTTGTGGCTACAATCGTGTTTTTGAAACTCAGATACTATATAGTTTCTGTGGACAATTATGGTCATCTTAATGAAAGCTAATATAAGTTTCTACAAAGGCTTATAACATTAATGTTATTTCTTCAATGATTTACGTACTACAAAAAAAATGTATTGAAAAATTAAGTTTTTGGGATCGTATTTCGCATATTTCTCTCAACTATTTTTTTCAGAATACGAACAATTTTTGTGTAAAATATTCTCTAGTGATCCGTTAATTATTTATAGTAAAGAGATAATCATTTGTGATTATTAATTGAAGTTTTCATAATACACAGTTTTCCAGACTTCTTAAATGATATATGAGATGATAATAGCTGTAAATTTTTGTCTTTAAAATAAGAACTTAATTGTTCTCACTCATATGTACTTTTGCACTCTCCCTTTGACCGCATTTCATATTATTTTAACCTAATTATTGTATTATCTTGAAATTTTCGGTAGAAAAAACCTAGCCTAACTGTCTGGCCTAAATTCTTTTGGTTTACTTACATATAAGGTGTCTAAATATATTCGCGAAGGTGGCGCATTTGTCAACTTTAGGTGTGTGGCTCACGCTTGAGGCGTGGCTGGATTTCTAGCAAACCTTAAAAATTAATATAGCGTCATAGCTCGTTATTAAAATTTGAAGTGTTTTCAGTTGTAGTTAAAGTAAAATATTGTAATGGGTTTCACTCGATTAAGAGTTGACCAAAATTAAAATCCTATTTCTCATCTATGTCGTTTAGTGTAGGAAAAACTTTCTTGCCTCTTATGACTCGATCGATGAACGGATCGATAGATCGTCGAACCGTGACCCAATGTACGATTTAGTTGTTAGTTATTTTATTATGCTCAGACTGTTGGACAAACGAACTGCGTTTGGGTTGGGAACAGGGAATGGGAATGGGACTGGGACTGGGGCCGGGACGGTGCGTGGGCAAATGCCCAGCTCATAATTTACGATATGGTCGTCTTGTCGCTGCATTTATGGTTTTATGGCTCACTACGCCGACGATGGCCGCGCTGCCCTGCCGAGCGGAAGTGTTCATTTACGCTGCCCGCTTTGTTGTTGTCTCTCTGTTGGGCTCCAACTTGGACAGTTGCATGCCGCAAAATAAGCGATAGTTTTAGATATGAAATCTTAACAATGAGTTGCGTTTCGTTTCGGTAAACCTTAGCATGAACTTAATTGGCGGCCTGCCCTCTGTTCTGCCTCTGTTCTTTTTTTCGCGCTCTATGCTCTTTGTCTCATATCTGGCGATGCCCTATACATGTTAATTAGTTGGGCCTGTCTGCACATTCCTTGTCTAATTTGTATATTTCATCAACTTAAACGGTGGCGGGTTCATTGAACCACAACTGCCTCAGCGATCGATGACTGCAGCTATTGATTGACAGTGGACAGACGCTTGTCAGTTCATTTTGTTTATAAAACTATACATGTGAATGAATGTGTATACAAATATGTGCGGTGCTTGTGATTTGTTGTAAATAAAATTATTATTGGATGGAGTTGTGAAAAGATCTTAAATCATACTCAGGTTTAATATATCAGAGTGAAATAGTGTTTAAAGTTGTCCTTCAGTCGAGCTGAGCATGGTTTAATCTATTGTGAATTATGGACACATACCATATTAAGTGCTTAAAGCTTTGTATATATAACTGTTAGAGACGTCTGAACAATTGTGGGTTCAAGGTTTCATAGTTAGAGATTCGCTCAAAATCAATATTGCTCAAACAAAAAAAAAAAAAGATCAATCAACTTTTTTAAGTATTTATATGTAAATATGTATGTATGTTATCTCATATGAAACAGAAAGCAAGTTTATTTCACGCTCCGCTGCAATTTCAAATAAATATTTGTAAGTGTTGCCCTTCTGAGTGATTCTCAAGAAGGCAAGTAAAGCTCACAGGTGTTAACTCTTTAACATTACATATGACTTAACAATTTGTGTTGCTCATTTAAAAATGTTAATTTGCGTGCTTGTATGTATGTAAGTATTCATGTATGTATGTGTGTATGAGTATGAATACTTAAAACAAATATATTTTTATGCCCTCCTAACGGGTCATAAAAAACCGAGTAAAAATCTACAATTTTCGTTGTTTTCCACACTATTATAATTTCAACATTTGTTGATTGTCCCACATGCCTACATAATTCAGCCAAACAGTTTTAGTTCTGGATATGAATGAATCTCGACATTTGTTTCCTGTAAACAACTTATAAATCGGTATATACTTCTGCTAGAGGCTGCACAAATTGCCGATCCATTAACTGCGCATAAATAATAAAATGGATCTAATTACGGGCTATTGAACCTTGCACAAAATTTTCATAATTACGCCACAAAGTACGAATGCAACAACAACTACAGACATCTATAAGTTAATGCAAAGAGTTGTATTTCCGACTGAGGGCGGTAAGAGAGGGGCGTGGTGTGTGCTGAGGAGATGCAGCAGATGCATAGATAGGAGCACACAAAATGTAAACTGCGTCGGCAGCAACGAGTAAATGCCATTTATAGCTCCAAATGTGAACTGAACGTGTTGGCAGCGCCGACGAACGCTGATGGCGACGTTGGCGAGTTGCATAACGCAGCCGCTCATCCACGTCCACGTCCACAGCCACATCCACACCAAGGCAGCTGCCTCGCCGCAATATTATCCACAGAGCTTGTCTAGCCCACTAGCATTTGCATGGGAATGGGACTCGGATTGGGAATGGGCAAGGGCATGGGGAAAGAGGCTGCCACTGGCAATGGGCCTCACTCTCTATGGGCTGGTAGTCGCGTCTGGGCAGCTAATTAGGATTTAGAAATATCGTCAAATTTAGAAATGCACAAAAATAAAACCAAAATCCACGAAAAACTGACGACGCGTGGAGGTGAACTGAGCTGAAGTACCATAATAAATGGAATAAATGCGTGAAAATGTGTGCACACAAACAAAAAAAACAGAAGGAAAGAAGTACACAAAATATCACTTGAAGTTGCGCCGCTAAACCAAAATGTTGACCCCAATTTTGTTTGATTTTTATCGAATATTCATATTTTGCAGAGCCGGCACGAGAATGGTACGGGCGGCATTGGCAAGAGCGCCAGTGATGTGGATATAACCGATGATGCCTCACAGCCGGAACGTGTGTGGTTGGTGCATCGTGGTGGCTTCACCGCTGCGCTGCGTCTGCCGCCCAATAGTGGCATGCCGCACGAGGAGCATAAGCTGAACGTGCGACTGCTGCACAATGGCGAACAATTGACCGTTGATGAGGATGACATCGAGAAGCAGAACGACGCCGCATTGGATCTGGCCGAGGACATCTGTGAGCTGAAGTATTTAAACGAGGCGTCGGTGCTGCACTGCCTCCGGCAGCGTTATGCCAGCAATCTCATACACACCAAGGCGGGGCCCACGCTGCTTGTGGTCAATCCAATGGCACCACTGTCGCTCTATTCCGAGAAGGTAAGACTGAGACTGGTCTGGTTTATTGGCCTGTACTGGTTTGATTTGATTTGTTTCGGCTTATTTATCATGTCTGCTTGCTTGTAGGTTGTATCCATGTTTCGCGGCTGCAAAACGGAGGACATGCCACCCCACGTCTACTCGCTAGCCCAGACCGCCTACAGGAGTTTGGTTGAAACGCGACGCGATCAAAGTCTAATATTCATGGGCCGTTCTGGTTCTGGCAAGACCACAAGCTTTAAGCATGCGCTCAACTACTTGGCGTTGGCTGCTGGTATGTCTAGACATTGTTGTTGTTGTTGTTGTCACAGCAGATATTGCTGCTGTGGGTTGGCCTCGTTTGTGCCACACCAAAATTCAATCTGGCGTTCGATTAACTCATTTGCATTTTGTGTTAAAACGCAGCTGCAATTTGTCAAGCCATTTCGCATTGTTCTATCATTGTAAAATGGCATAATTTAAAAATATTATGACGTAGGTTATACCATATATGGCTAAGTCGAAACCAAGACCAATCAAATCGATCATGAGTTGTCTATTGGGCTACATTTGTATTTCATTTATTTGATTATTCCCTACTCTTTAGAGCTCTTAAGCAAATTAAGATTTTTAAAGACTAATATTTTTATACCCCGAACCCATTGAAAATGGGTAAAAGGGGTATATTGTATTTATGCAAAATCCAAATGTATGTAACAGGCAGAATGAAGCATTTCCGACCCCATAAAGTATATATTTTCTTGATCAGCACCAATAGCCGAGTCGATCCGGCCATGTCCGTCTGTCTGTCCGTCCGTTTGTCGGTATGTATGAACGCAAGGATCTCAGAACCTATAAGAGCTAGAGACCTGATTTTGGATGTAGGTCCTCCTAGTGCCTGCGCAGATCGAGTTTGTTTCCGATAATGGATAACTTACTCCGTGTGCAAGCAATCGATAAAAATCGATATCGACATCATGTTTTTGGAGCAAATTGGGTAAATAATAAGAGCTAGAGTCACCAAACATGATATGTTGCTTCTAGAATATTATATATATATCAAGTATCTTTCATTTTATACCTATAGCCGCCTCCCCGCTACCACCGCAGAGCTATAAATCAAGTAAATAACCAAACTTATATTGCCAACCAATCTAAGCATCAATTTTAATGCAATTGACTTTTTGAGAATACACAAATATTCTATGGTACACTAAGATATACTGTTAGAAAATTTCATTAATATCGGTTAAGAGAAAACCAAAGTTATATGTAACTGCGCAATTGGATGGCACAGCTAGCGAAAACATCAAGAATTTGTGTATAGATGTACACACACACAAATTCATGCGCGTCTGTTTCGCATTCTTTCGCATTCTAACATTATTGTAATTGCGACTTTTTTCTCTAATGCTATTTAAGTACGTTTTCTTTTCGATAATACTTAATTATTGGTGTGGCTGTTAAGTAAAGGCATAGCAATTGTTGCGGTCTGTCGCAAGTTCGAGCCCTACCTTCCCTGCCAAGGGAACTTTTTTTTTTAATTTAACTTTATTACTTCAAACGAGCGCGTTGCGCGAACTGCACTTTGGCGATGGAATAAGAGGGTTCAGGGTCTAGGGAATACGGGAGCTCCCGACTAGAACCTCTTACTTGTTTAGGTTTCCATTATTGACAGAGTTAAAGGTATTACAAGGATATATCGCTATATACCCCTTTACGTGTAGCAATATAATGACTTATAAATGACTTAATCTTGAATATACAGTATTTTCTATTTTTTATTTTCTGTATCTAAAAGAATAAACATTATTTTAATAATAATTTACATTCAAATAGATTATTCACAACGTCTCTGACACGTTTTATTTACTCTACTAACTAATATTTACTTTCACTCATTGTACAGGTGCATACAATAATTTTATCAATGCGGAAAAAGTGAGTGCCCTGTGCACAATTCTGGAGGCCTTTGGCAATACGAAAACATGTCTCAATACGAATGCTACGCGTATGACGCAGCTGCTCAGCCTGGATTTCGATCAGACCGGGCAAATAGCATCAGCTTCGTTACAGGTGAGCCGAGTGTGTTCACATCTCAACTAGACTGCATTGCTCATGCCTCAAAATGGCTACAGGTTCTTTTGCCGGAGCGTCAACGTGCGGGACGCCGGCTGTCGCACGAGCACAGCTTTCATATTATGACGCGACTGTTGGCGGGCGCCGCAGGGCTGCTGCAGAAGGAACTGCACTTGGAGAACATTTCATCTGAAGACAGTCATCCGTTTATATCGCTCTCTCAGCGACTGGAGGATCGCCATCGGGCGGCGAATGACTTTTTGCGTACGGTGCAGGCATTCGAGACACTTAACATTGATGCAAAGGCCGTGCGGGGAATTTGGAGCATACTGGCAGCCATTTATCATCTGGGTATTGCGGGCATTACAAGAATGGGCACCGGCTCAACGGCACGAACTCAGTTTGCCAATCCGACAGCAGCGCGCAAAGCGGCTAGCCTGTTGGGAGTCAATCTGGAGGATTTATCGGCAGCTGCTTTTGGTCTGACGCAGCCCAATGCAACGGGCGGCAGTTTGAGTCCCTCCAAGTCGCCTACCTCAGATGGCGGTCAAGAATGGGCCTGGGAATGCCTAGAAGCGCTCGTCATTGGCCTCTACTCGGAGGCCCTGGCCGCTGTGGTGGCTCTCATTAATCGCCAGATCTGCACATCAGCACATACTATTGCTTCGATTATGCTGATCGATACGCCGGGCTTCCAGAATCCAGCCAGCTGTGGCCAACAGCTGGGCGCCACGCTAGCCGATCTGCGTCACAACTATTTGCAGGAACGCCTGCAAATGCTTTTCCACCACACAACATTGGTAGCGCCACGTGATCGCTATGCCCAAGAGCTGGTGGAGATCGAAATGGATCATGCTTCCGAGTGCCATCCTGGTCCACTAATATCGCTGATTGACAAGGCACCACAGAATCATGTGGTCCGCTCCTCACAACGGGATCTGCGCGAGCACGATCGTCGTGGTTTGCTTTGGTAGGAACTTTTATTAGTATTACTATCTATCTCATTTTAATCAATCTTAATGTTCAATTTGCAGGCTATTGGACGAGGAGGCCATCTATCCCAACTCGAATGATGACACATTCCTAGAGCGTTTGTTCTCTCATTATGGCGATCGTGAGCATCACACGTTGTTGCGCAAATGCGCCGGACAGCGTCAGTTTGTGTTGCATCATCTGCAGGGCACCAACCCGGTGCTGTACGCCGTCGATGGCTGGGTTCGACACAGCCGCGAGCATCCTGGCATACGAAATGCGGTGTCGCTGCTGCAGGACAGCAGCCGGGAGGAGATCAATCGTCTGTACATTGGCTCATTGACGCGTGGCTCCGGTGCCATGGTCTTTTGCGGTTCCTTCGCGGGTCTGGAAGGCACACAGTCATTGCGTCGCGTTTCCAGCATACGCCGCTCCTTCACTACGGCAGGTGTCAAACGCAATTCAATTATGCTGCAGGTGAAGTTCACCGTGGACGGCATCATCGACACGTTACGTCGCACAGGTACCCACTTTGTGCACTGCTATCTGCTGCAGCACAATGCGGGCAAGCATGCCAAGTATACCGCGAATGGCTCACCCAGCTCAGTTTTGGGTCAAGCAGCTACAGAGGAGGAATTGGTCAATGTGCCACTGTTAAGGAGTCAGGTGAGACAACGAGAAGCGATCAATTCTCAAAATGTGTGCTGACGTTTTACTCCATTACTCCTTTCAGCTACGTGGCTCACAAGTCTTGGAGGCAGCTCGCTTGCATCGTTTGGGCTTTCCCGAATCTGTACCATTGCTGGAGTTTGTGCGTCGCTTTGGTCTGTTAGCCGGCGATCTGGCGAGTAACAAAGATATTAGCGTAGAGCAAATACTCGCCGTCAATGAAATGGACGTTGCCAGCTATCGTATCGGACCAAGTCAGGTGAGTTGAATACTAATTACATTATATACCGAAATTCTAGAATTGGCTAATAAACTGGTTTTAAAAATAAGACTCAAACTAGGAAATCCAAAAAGAAAAAAAAGGTGGTGCATATAAAAATAAGGGAAAATGAAATAAAATATAGGTTATTGAAAAGTCAGTTAAAAATGTGATGCCCTTGGGAGATGATAATCGATATTCGGAGAAAAGGCAGAGCTATCGATTTAATAAACTTGATACGAGAACCTATATCGAATTATAATTGGTCCGATAATTATCAGCTCTTAATGGCTTAGACAGGCGAAAATGTTGCTCCCAATAAAATATACATTATTCTTAAGCAAATGTAAATGTTGGGTGGTTATGTTACTCGAGTGACACAAATAGTAGATCTGTGCTATATTTTAATACATTTTTAAATTCAATAAAAAAAATTGGATTGGAGCTTAAAGTAATCGGTTCTCTGTCGACATCTTTGTGGTGCATATGGTGAAATTTGAAACTAACTGATAAAAAATTGATTAAAAAAATGTAGTTTTGCAGCCTTGCACGAAGTTTTGAAAACTCCTTTCTCCTTCGCTATGATGTTTCTAAAAGATTAATTTAATATTTGTGTAGTACAACCTCTTAAAATCCTCTTCTCAATGAGAACGAACTATTAAACCTTTATTTTCCAAACCATTGCGAACAAACAATGATCAATATTAATATACTATTTCAAGTAGTGCCCCTAGGTACAATTAATGTAAGGGTATTTATTACTCGACACACAGATTAAAACTATTTTGTTTGTTTTAATGTTTGTGTCGCTAGTCTTCAACCAATATAAGTAAAATAATAAAATAAGTAATTGGTTCTTGTGATAAAGTGCAAATTTAATTACATACGTGCAGTTTATGGCCCGACAGTTTTTTAATCGAATTAAAACCAGTCTGAGCCGCACTTTTAAATGAACCGAATGAAAACTTCAAATGCATTAAAACGATGTGTGTATATAGTATTTTATTCGTTGCAATTGTGTGTATAGCTCCAAACTGCAATGTTTTGGAATCGCAATAATTATTTGTTTTACCGAAGCAATGGCTAACCAGTTTTTATGTATTATAAGCAAAACTACATTTAAAGAAGGTTAAATAGCTCTAGGCCTAGCTCGTGTTGCATTTGATACTGACGCATTTTGATTTTTAAAATTCTGCACTGAGTTTTCATTGCATGGCTTCAAACTAAAATGTAAAAGAAGTATTGGATATAATATATATATAATAAATAGAAATAAATAAATGTATGCCACATTATCATAATAAGCACCGTAAAGCGTTTTAAGATAATTAACATCGAACTGGAAACAAGGAAATCATAATAGAATTTACTGGTACCATTGAATTTTGCAAATGTGCTAAATACCATACCATAAACGTTTTAATTAATTCTTGTCTAATGTAGATAAAAATGTAAAAGATATACAGTTTTCCATATAATGAAGCTGATCGAATTACAATCGTAGATGTTATAACAAAATGATCAGGATTAGGACTATAGACTCATGTAAATGTGTAAAATACTCATACCATACACGTTTTTGTATCTACTTTCCAAAACGGTTCAATGCACTTGGTTGTAAAAATGCTTTAACAAGAGCTCAGTAGAGCCACGCATAAAACGCAATCTCATTTAAAAAGTAGGGCTTCTATAAAGTAAGAACAACTAGCGTATTTTTTAAAAATACATTTACTTTATTTATCATAAAAGACAGGAAAATAAAATTTTGCTAACAGGAACCCGTTTGTGACTCCCAGGATAGACACCTAAGTTAAGCAGGATGTAACATTTCGATAGCAAGGCACAAATATTCATATGACAGCATTCCAGTTGAATGATTTTCATACAATCTTTGACCAAATTGCAGTTCGAAATTTTAAAACCTGGTCTTGATGCTCACTTTCGGCCCAAAAGGAAGCTTCTGTAAAAATTTCAGCCCACACCATTTCGGCTGAGCGTTAATAACCAATCAGTCTGTTAGTCAGTCGGGACAAACTCCTTTATATATGTAGATGTACACTAAGTTCATAGATTACTTTTTGGTTATTCGCCTCTATTTTTGCGTGCATCTTATAAAAGCCTTCGATACGTTCTTGTGTTCAGAATAGTTGACGGCTTTGGAGGTCGTATGTGAACTAGACCATCGGCAATGCCGAATGGCGGCTGCTCCAATGTGCTGAGGTAATAGACACCCGCTTTGGGCACAGCCGGTTCACCGCCCATATATGCATCGGCGGCACAAGCCACTGCACTGGTGTATTTGCCGTTGATGTTGCAGCCACATGTGGCTGTTAGTATGCTCTGAAGTGAGCTGCAGCGAAGCGCACCAAAGATATTGGGCTGGCGCACAGACTCGGCAAAGTAATAGACGGCCGCAAAATGATCACAGGCAAAGTCAAACTCGGTGGCCGTGGCATTTGGACATTGCGGCTGTCCGCGGCCCCAGTTGGGAAAGATGGCGGCCTGACTGAGTTGATTGCCCTGCGGATTGCCCAGCAGCTTTAGATCTGTGTGTATGGACTCCACATAAATGGCGTCAGTGGGTGCCAGTCGCTCCTCAGGTCCCAGCCTAAGCTGTGTGAGACCCGCTGGATCTAGCGCAAATATGGCGCCCAGGCGTGCGGGTTGCAGCTGTTTGCCAGTCAGGCCGGCTACGTGACTGCCCGCACTGTGGCCCACCAAATAGATGTGCTCGTAGGGCACGCCCGTGTTGTCGTGCAGGAAGCGCAGAAATTTGGCAATACTGGCTGCAATCGATTGCAGTTGCTTGGACACACGATAGTAGTTAATGTCCATTGCCTGGCGGCTCCAGTCCACGATGATGACATTGAAGTTGCCACGCGACAAATAAGCATCCTTGATGGCAGCATTGTAGCAAGTGCTGCTCTTGCCCGTCCAGCCGTGTATGGAGACTCTGTGAATATTCATATTTTGTCAAATCCATATGAGGGATCCGTTATATTTCTCACTTAACCCACCTGACTGGCCACTTGCCGTTGAAATACGAATTCTTTAGCATATTCACATCGCCCGGACGCAGCAGCTGGCGCTCTTGTGGATTAAACGGCGTATAGAGATCATATTGCAAAAGGCTGGCTTGGGATCTGGGCCTTGGCGAATTGGTCAACCTTTTCAGGCTCGTTTGGACCAAGCCCTCTAAAACGGTGCTTATTGAAATTTCGCACTTGCCGCGCTCATAAGCAAACTGCCTTTGACCAGCGGCCACTTCTAAAAGAGCAACAACAGCAATACAAATATATCACAGATTACAGATTACACCTGAAAGAAACACATCACTGGCACACTTACTCCCAGCTGGCAACAGCAGCAACAAACACAACAAGTGCATTTTGAAAGCAATAAATAAAATGAAATAAAATTCAGGTATATTAAGAACCGAATCAAGTTCCAAAACTCGCGACAAAGCGTCAATTAAAAGCCACTTTTATTCAGCACAGCTCACTAAAAAGATCTCACAGCAGCGAATTTTTCTGAGCACGACGATCGACAGCTCCGACGCGTTACAAGTTCTGAGCTAAAGTATTGCAAAATTCTAAACGGACGCTGTGTTAAATACCATTATATATAGTGTTTTATAAAGCTAACAGCGCAGAGCGTGCTGAGGACGACGGCGCAATCGCATGCGCTGGACGTGGACGACGGCGCCGGCCGGCCGGCCTGCCGGCTGGTTGGCTGGTCGTCTGTCGGCGATAGCTCCACAGCTCGGTCACTGTCATGACAAGCGCCCATTTAAGCTGCAAACTTGTTGAGATTGAGCGGTTGCTGCTGCTGCAACAGTAGCAACAGTATGCAGTTAACAACAATTGCAGATACAACTAAGTAAGTGCAAGCAAATACTCGAGCACTTGGGCTGTCATGTTCAATTAGCTGCCAACTGGACCCTAGCCACTTCCGTTGCTTGAGCCTAAGTTATTTTAGACGGCTGTTCATTCTGACTGACGATTTCTTTTTGGCGTTCCAATCCTAAGTTTAGCAGCTCACAATTCACAGCCTAGCATTGGTGTGGGTCAATAGGCTTTCACTGTCTACGGCCAAGGGGAAATGTTGGTTCATTAGCCTGGCTAACGAAATTCATTTATGCGTTGCATAATTATATATATTAACAAGTCTATACATCTATAGATACACGCGTATATTTGACTTTTAAATATGTTTTATTCGGGTTTCTAGTTTTCATCGCCTTACGATTATTAACTTAAGACTTTCTTATGTAAGTTGTCCACATATAATTGGCCAATTATCTGGTCATTTTCAAAATGTTAGGTAATTTGAGTGTGAATTTGAATCATTAGTCATGGTATCCATAACTAATTTTATAAGTGCAAACACAGGTGCAATAGTGTACCTCGATTTCATTAACATATTCTTAATCATGTGTTTAAACATGGTATATTATGAGCATAATTTTTTTTATCAATGGTTCAATCCGAGCATAAATACTTTGCCAGCCTGTCTGGCGCCTTGTTGCTGTAGCACCTTTCAAATACTATCAAGCCGCATTTGAATTTTGGCTGTGTCATGTTTCATACTCAAATTCAAGCCAAGAATGCTGTTAAACGGCCAAACTAAGTAATTATGCATACAAAAACAGATCGTGAACCAAGTCGTTGATCTTTCGCTACGACCTGCTACTAACACTTGCCACTGGCCCGCCTCGCTCAGCAGGGCTTTCAGACACATTTGCGTATAAACTGTGTGAGTTTGGAGAATTGACGTTTCATCACATCTATGGGCTATGAGCTATGAGCACATGTATTTACACTTATTTAAGGTTCAGGTTCAGCAATAATTTCATATCGTTGTTTTCCAAACCATTTAGCGGATCTCTCAGGTCGTAGCATAAGTGTGAGACTTGGTTTCTTTTTACGACAGCGACATTAAAATGTTTGACTTAAACATTTGTCGCTCTTCCTCTTTTACTATTATTGTTGTTAATTTTTATAAACATATAACAGATCGTTCAACTCGTGCGTGCCAAGACATGTGTCGGTTGAGACTTATTACAAAGTTTATTGACAGGATTTACGTATTAAAGCAAATAATGCATGCTTATTACGCGAGATGAAACCTGTACATTATTGATCATATTGTTTTGTTAAGCTGTTTAAAGGCATATTGAATATTTTCGAAAGTGGGTGAGTACTGGGCTTACGGAGTGCACACGCATCTAAAATAAACTTCACCTTAAACTACAATACAAATCAATAAGACCTTGTGCAGTTAACAAGTGTATTCTTTAGCCCAAGTGCACTGTGTCACGCCAGTCGTACAGGGTATCTACTCGTTAATCAGCAGTATGCCTCATACTCTTACAGTGTTTATTCCACAAAGTAAATTAAGAAAACAAGTATACATCTTATGGGAAAGGGCAAAAGATTTATGCATTCTTTTCATTTTTCTGCTAGTTCGAATCACTTGAGACAAAAATAAAGTCCCAGTTCCAAATTAAAAGATAAAATGAATCTTATAAGCCTTGTTCTAGTATCATACAAATCAGTTAACTAAATAAATCTAGGTAAATATTTTTGTAGGCGCATAAATTACTCTTACCTGCTTACCTGCTAATTTGATACTAGTGTTTACAATCTGCTTTGCAATTTATATATTTGTTAATGTAAGTTAATGGTTCCCTTAACAGATTTTTGTAAGAGTTTTTGCCCTATTATTTATTAATTGCAAAATATAAACAAGCGTAGGTAAACCCACAATTATTGATACAAATCAATTTGAAAGTAAAAACACAGCACGCATCACATTTTGAATGAAACTTGCTTTTAATTATGAATAAACTTCCTATTTACGGTTTATCTTACTGGTTTTTAGGCTGTGTTCCTGAAGCTGGAGGCTTTATAAAACTTTGAACCCAATAGTGTATCACATGATAGACTTGAAAGACCAGTTGCATTATTATATTAGTAAACAGCGAATCTGAATCAGATTGGAAAGGCTAATTTGCAAGACAATAGAAATAGACACTCTGATATAAAAAATTCGAGAAATTCCTAAAATTTGTGATGGATTAAGAAAATGTATATGTATTTACTTAAATCACTTTTACTAAATTGCTTTTAATTTTTCTCCCATTATTTATTATTTTGAATGTTTTCTCAAAAAACTATGGAAGCTCGTATATTTTAACATATTCAAAAATGATCTCGTTTTACGAATTAAAAAAAAAAAACAATAAAAAAGTGATTTGTTTAGTTCTGCATATAAATTTCGAATTAAGAATGTTTATATCGAAGTCAACGTTCTTAAAAATCACCAAAAATAAAGTAGACGTTGAGTCATAGACATTTCCTCATTGTGAAATATTTAGCACAATTAAACGAATACTAATTTGCAACAGATTAACACATTTGATACTTATAATTATAGTTTTTAAGTTTCCTTTCTTAGCTTTCACTTTCTATTAAAATTTAACTGTTTGCATTTTTGTTTTTATTTGGTTTCTGAACTGTCGTAAATTGATTCTAAACTGCTGGACATGTGTGTAACTCTCGATGCTTCTTAAAGGTATTACTTACTAGGGCTCTGGCATGCGCTCGGTTGGCTGCTTGGTTGGTTTTTGATTTCCTGTTCTCATGCAACTGTGAATCCCTGCTTAATGCCGGTAGGTGCCTACAAAAACTGATCGCAATAAACTAACTTCTGACGTCACTTGTTGCAAGTCCACTTTTTTTTCTCTTCTTGGGTTTCTGTGCTCTGTTGCGATGACGCTGACAACTTTCACGGTCAAGTTCATCTGTGAAGCTCCCGCCTCCATTGTGGTATAGAATTCCGAGCTACTGTTGTTATGGTGTGTGTCTGTCGTTGGCTTGTCGAGCTATGGGTCCAGCCTCTTGGTCTGATTATGTCTGATGCTCAGTTGGTTTCCACAAATGGAGAACGCTGCAGCGAGGCAGGCAAATTATTTCATCGACGCATAATGTGGCCGGACAAATCCAAAGCCGTGTGCTTATCGAATGGCAATGAGAGTGCCAGATTTAGCAGCTGGCTTGGAGATAGTAACACGAACGGCAATGGCAACGGCAACGGCAACAGCCACAGCGATTATTTTCTAAACATCTTTGTGCAGCTTTGCGGCCAGCGGCATGCGGCAGACGATATTTGGCGTTTGATATTGCTAATCTATGGACTGGGCAGCAGTCTGTGGCTCATCGGACGCAGCGCACGCAGTGTACGTACCATTCCGAAACCAAATTCAATTTCAAATCCAAGTCCGAAACTGTGCCCAACCCAATCCAATCCAGCCGCGTGCGTCGTTTGACTTTCACCAAAAAATGACGTTGCGTTTGTCGAGCTGCGCGACCCGCTGCAACCTGCAGACAACTCGACGATCGCAGACAACAACAACAACAACCACATTTGTCCAATGCACATTAACATTTTTTCCATGCAAACGTTTAAAGTGAAATTTCCCAGCGTTCGCTTTCATTAGAAATGAATCGCGGTTTGTGTTTCTGTGTGCAGCTTATAACTTGCATAATATATGGAAGCGGGTTCTGTCAATGGGGCTTAAGTCCAGTGAAAAAGGTTTTCAAATTGGCTCGAAGCGAGAAAACACGAAAACTTCATTAGCGCTTTGACATGCAAGCGCCTGCCGACCTTTTGGGAAGCAAAAGGGGCGTGAACTTAATCAATTTACGCATTAATCTAAACCGGGCCAATTGGCCCTTTAGGCTAACTCTATGTAAACTTGTTTTCGATTAATTATGAAATAACAATAACCAGGAAGCTGCCTACATGCGTTTCTCAAAGCTGCAGTTCTTTTAATTAGTTACAAGACGTGTTTCTTTTTTAAACCAATTGGAAATTCTGTGAGACTCTTGTTAAGGTGCACAACTGACGTTAAGCTCCGCTCTTGGTCGCTTCCGAGGTGTACGTAATTTGATAAGTGAATGCGGCGAGCAATTTTAATTTGAATAATTAATAATTGACTCCAGTGCCAGTACAGACCGTGGACATTGCAATAAGGAAGAGCCACAAAGTTCTATAAATCATCCACTTGATATCGAATGTGGTTCAGACATTAAGATATCGTACTTCATCACTTTGACAATCGCCACCGACACTGACCATCGCAGCGCTCTTTCCATAAGATTTAGGTGTTTATTACTAAAGAGCTAAAGGCATGAGAATTTCGATTTATGAAATAAGGATAGTGGAATGCAATTCAAAGTGAAAGGATAAACGTAATTGATGATGTACAAAATAAGACAACGGAATAGTTCAAGATTTTAAAACACTTAAAATGGAAATGTCTTATAATTCAGAAAGATGCTCCAAAACTAAAAAGAATAAGTTTGGAGGACAGTTTCGAGCGGTTGTGAAGTTGGGCAAATGAATGGCTAAGGCAGGCCATGTTATTCCCAGGTCTTCGACGGTTCAAGCTTTATTACAATCTCATTGATCTTTTGATGAAAAAAAATGATATTTAAAAATCAAGTAATATTTAAGCCGACGAAAATTGGTTTTTATTAGTTTATGTCTTAGCTTAAAACAGATCTCAAATAAATTGATCTGAAATACAAGATGCATTTTATATAGTTATGTGCAGTTATTGTTCATATTGTAATTAATAATTTATATTAATTAATAATATAATTTAAAATTTTAATTAGAAAAAGTTTAGTTGAATCCATATCTGCTTAAATCAAAGAGTATGAATTTGTTGCTTAAAAAAAGATGTCATATTTAAGATTCTTTGGTGTTAGTTCAAAGTGTTTTCTCGAGTTTCCTGGGCATGCTGTTGACTCAATATAGAGTATAGTCATGCCTGCGCTAGGGCAGTGCAATAACCTTTTTAACTGACCACGGGCAAAGACAGATTCTATAGAACCTGCACATATATCAATATTTGTCATTGTCACGGACGAGCGTTAAAGCATGTGAATATGCTCTATGGGTGATTTAATACCCGCTGAAGTCCAATTGCTGACAATGAAAAGTTCAAATGGAAACATACATGAGATTTTTTACTTTGAGTTATACATAACTGGGATGATTATGATGTTAAAGCTGATGATGATGATGATGATGATGACGATGAGTATGTGTAATTGTTCTAATATCGCTAATGAGGAGAGCATACTATAAATCGAGCATATGACGACTGAACGAAAACAGATTTGTTGGTGCTACTTATTAGCATCGAACCTGCAGCTGCAACACGTTGCATACAGCTAAGATGTCTGGGCCGCCGACATGCCGCCTCACCCCACCATATGGTTAACCATGACCGCCACCAATTACGGTAAGCCGCGACCATGTCCACGGCTCTGTTTGTTGATAAGCCACTTTCGAATGCACAGCGCACTTGGCTATTGACTGTTTTGTTGCTGTTGCTGTTGTTGCTGCTGCTGCTGTTGCTGCTGGTCTGCTGGCTGTTTGGCTGCGTCTGGCGCGGCAAGAAATTCAGTTGCGCCGTTGAGCTCAAAGAGAAAACAACACACGAATTACGCGCCAAGCGCCCAGCAGCTGTGAAAGTGTTGGCACTGCTGTTGGTCAAGTGGCCACAAGCGGCGACCGCCAATCGAAAGGAAATTTCGCAACGACAACAGCAAAAATTATATGCACTTTTACTTGTTGCCAGTCTTTGCATCATCATCATCGTCATCATCATTTGCTATCATCGCCATCAATATCTCACAATAATTATTGTTATTATGTACAAGCACACGGTCAAATCAAAGCTGTCGCAGGTGCGTAGCACACCGCCGTTGCCAGCTGCCACGCCCCATAAACAGGCCCACGGCCTAGGCGCTGGTAAAAAATTCTTCTCGCACATACGTCACAAAATCGAGGATAATTTAACGCCCAAGCTGAGCGGAAAACTCTACTACAAGGGCAGCAAGCACACGCGCTCCATGAGCGCCCTCAGCCTAGTGGACAGCGGCGGCTGTGTGGGCGGCAAGTACACGTCCAAGACGACGACAGCAGCAGCAGCAGCAGCAGATTCGCCGACTTGTGCAACAGTCAGTGGCAATCCGCTGCTGACGTTGAGTAGCAGCGTTTGCAGCTATGTGGACAGCGATGAGGAAAGTCACATGAGCCTGAATCTGACACAGCAATCCCTCGAAGATGAGATCTTTGCGGAGCTGGAGAAGGTCGCACACGATGAGAGTAAACTGAACGAGGTGCTGCAGAGCTTCGATCAAATATTGCAGGAGTATCCACCAGTGGAGGACCTAGATTTGCAGCTGGAAAAGACATTGCCGCTGACGCTAACGTTGCCACCGCCGCCAGCTGAGTTCAGTGATCGCCAGCTGCTATCGAAATCACATAGTACGCTGAGCATGGCATCGAGCAGGCGACAGATCTACCAGACACCCGAATTGGCCAACTCGATGCTGTTGCGCCGCAGCGACTCCAGCGCGAAACAACGCTACAATTCTCTGTGCGACATCAGACAGTTAAGCGGCAGCCGCATACCCATATCCAAGCACTCTAGTCTGCGTTGCCTGGAAAAGACCAATGTCATGAACAAACCGCAGCAAACACAGCCACAACAGCAGCCAAAGCAGCAACGCACCAGATCCATGCTGACACTTAGCAGTCGCAACTGCAGCAGAGCCAATGCGGCAGCCAAAATGAAGCCGCTGCCGGCGCCACCAGGGTCTGTTGTGCCGCCCAAGCGGACCAACTCAACGCTGGAGCGTCGCCAGTTGGCGACCAAGCCGCCCAGACGTGCCAATTCGACATTGAAAGCGGCGGCCAACCGATCACCGAATGCGCACAGCGATGAGCTGTTGGTCAAGTGCCTGGCCAAGGGTCATGACCTGCTGCGTCAAGTGGAGAGCCTAAATGCCGGCAAACCACGGCCCAGTCGCGGCGTGAGTAAGGAGCACACGCAGTTGCTGCGACAAAAAAAGAAACAGCAGCTACAAAAGCTGCACTACGCCAACGAGGAGAAAGTGGGCAAACCCAAGCTAGAATCGTGCAAGATAATACCTCCCAAGCTGGGCGAGACCTCCGATAAAAATCAAGAGCTGCTGGTCAAAGTGGTGCAACAGCAGCAGCCGCCGCCGCAACATAAGCCAATAAAAGCTGTTGAACATAACTCAAACTCTGACTCGGATGACTCGGGTCACATAAGCAACACTGTGTTGTCATCGGCATCCAACTCCACCAGCAATTCAACTGGCAGTCTGTGCGAGTCTGAGGGCGAGGGCGAAGGCGATGTTGAAACAGAGCCGGCCAAAAGCTGCTGCAAGCCCAACAAAATTGCTCAGCTATTGCAAAAGTTTGAGGCCAGGTCGAAATGCCAAACGGATTGCAACCATATGATGCCAACGATGACGACGACTACGACCAAAGTGGCGCAGGTGCGGGCGGTGCGCTGCATACAAACACAGGTGGAGATCTACCCCACCTATATGAAAGAGGTAACTATGCAGCTGCACTAGCTAGCGACTCCCCAGCAAAGGCCCTACCATAACTTAACCACTCTATACGCTCCGGCTTTATCTATTAGTTACAAATATTTCTTAACTATTAACTGGAATAAATATTGTTACGAAAAAAAAACAAACAAACCTCTTTGCCGCTTATCTTCTGTTCTATATTTATATTTTATATTATTTAACACCTGGTTTTGGCTACTTGTTGCTTTTGTTTTTCGTAGTTTTTTTTTAGTGGTGGCCTCTTGTCCCGCCTCACCTCAGTCGTAAAACTCGCACATACACACCCATTTTCCCGGCTAGTCGCAATTTCACATTGGTTTACTTTCATTTTTGATCTACGTGCGCTGCATAATTTAAAATTTTGAAATAGTTTCTCGAAAAACGTCGCAAATTCAGCGAAACACCGTTGACACACCCCGCAAAGGTGCGTCCAATCCCAAGCAAAATCCAAAGACTTTCAGCTAACTAATTTGTAGTCTCAATGGAGGCTCGCGACTTTGGCTCGATTGCATTTGTTTGTAGAGAGTCGGGCTGCCTAATGGAATTGACGCTTTTGTTTATTTTTAATTTTCTATTTAGTGGTGAATTTTTATACCCTGTACCCCATGAAAATGGGTAATAACGGGTATAGTGGTGTTGTGCAAATCTTGTAAGAACCAGAAGAAAGGTTTTTTGATCCCATAACGTGTCTATATACTTGGTAGGTAACAATGATCAGATTGATCTGTCCGTATGCATGATTGAGCCAGTATCAAATTTCATTTCAAATTTGTTGTTTTTTGAATTATCGATAACTCGACCGAAATCGATTAAGATCGATCTAAAAAGATGTTATATGTTAAGGTTTTTGTGTAGTATAAACAATTCGGAGAAATGTTTAAGAATGTTATTTTTTTTATTGATGTGATGATATTATGTATATATATAAAGTACGAATGTTTGTAACGGTAGTTTTGGACTAGTTACAGGGTATCTGCGAGGCCGGCATTATTAACGAAAGCCCTCGTACTGGTTTTGTTCAATTTTTTATTACGTTCCTACCTTTCTGCATAGGTGTGCAAATTGGTGAGCTGTGCTCTTGTCCAGCTTCTTGCCTCTGCTGCTGTCAGCCACCTTGAACACCTTAACCTACACTTCCTTGAATTGATTAAATTTTGCTTTATTTGTAAGCGCAGCTGCTCTCAAACTCCACATACAATATTGTGACTATTTGAGCTTAGGATGGGGCTACTTCACTTTATGTATAAGTCTGTCAGCGGAAATCCATTTTTATATTCTGTATTTTGCCATTTTCTACTGCAAGTCTAATTAGGGTATAAATTGGATTTCTGTTCATGAATGTTTTTTGATATTATTGTTTTATGCATAAGCAATAGAGAAATTTGCAGCTGTCAACATCTGAAAAAAATTGATTATTTTCATCTAATGCCAAGTTGAATAAAACTCTTGCATTTCGTATTAATGTCAATCTATGGAGACTTTTCGGCTGCTTATGACAATACTAAAGGCACTTGAGTTTTTGAAAAAACTTAACTTAATTGCTTAAAATCTGTTAATAAACATAATTTTCTGTTTAACGAAAATGTTTGTTAGAAAGTTTGAGTTTTGATAGAGTTTATCTATAAAAATTAATTATTTGCAAAAATCATTAAACATATTTCAGAAATTATCTAAATATCGTTAAATTATTCGATTGATCGAAATATGATTGAAATATTTCTATATATTGTATTTAACTTATAAGAAAATATCATTAAATCATAAATTTATTTGGAAGTTCCTCACAAAATCAATTAATTTGATTCTTTTATTATATTTAGTAGGGTGGGTTACACATGATTACAAATAGGCTGTAAATATTTTTAATATGATATAATACAATATGCACAAAAATCTGAGTACATTTACAAGATGCAATAAGATAGATACACAAAATGTGGCATACAGGCGTCAAGTACCGAATCCATATATAGGATTTTTTTTGCTTTGATATGCGAATATCAAGGGTATATCTTTTATTTATTTTGTTTAAAATTGTGGTCTACATGTGGTTGTCAAGTAAGTTTATATGTATATGAATATAAACTCCATGTCCAATTAAGCTATAGAAATAATGCAAGAATAGCACAAGAATAAAACACCAATAAGAAATTTCATGAAAACAACAGACATTAAGAGAGAGGGGCATTTCTATATCGACTTTATGAAGTGCTAGATATCTTCTAAAGCACATAGTTTTACATAGTTTTTAAGATCAAGGATTTAGATTTTATTTACCAAAAAAAAAAATGTAATTTCAATTCAATAATTTCAATTCTTATTTTCGTACCATATACTTCTAATCATATTTCAGATACTTTTCCGTTCCGGTGTGCTCAATGAGCTGGAGGCCAAACGCGATGTGTTGCTTTCGGATCGCATTATACAGTTGCAGGCGTATTGTCGTGGCTATTTGGCACGCAAAAAGATGTCACAACGGCGTATTCAGGTGAGTTAAATCCCCCCAGGAGATTCCAATAAGCCTGGTCTACCATCTTGGCCTTACAGGAGCTGGCGGTGCGTTGCATTCAACGCAATGTGAAGGCCTTTTTGGCTGTGCGCGACTGGCCCTGGTGGCGTCTGTTGGTTCGTGTGACGCCTCTGCTCAATGTGCATCGCACCGAGGAGCAGCTGAAGATCGCTAACGAGGAGTTGCTCATGCTGCGCGCCAAGCTGGAGAAGATCGAATACGATCGCAGCGAAGTCAAGAACGAGAATCAAAAATTGGAAGCCAAGGTAAGCTATTTTTCTACCCATATCTCAGACAAGGCAAGACTTTGCTTCTAGTCTTTAATTAAAATTGCGCAGCCGGAGATGACATGACATGTGGCTGCTGCCCACGTTAGTTGAAATGACAACTATCTGGGGCGCCAAGATTTGGCTAGTCTTGTGGTGCAAACAGTTTGCAGAGTGATGCTTTATGTTCCGCTCGCTGTTGCTATGAATGATGTGTGTATAAATGCAGATATTTGTATTTATGTTTAGTTGCTGCACAGTGGAACTAGTTTTTGTAAAACTCATATAATTTATATTAATTAAACATTTTTGTAATTTATATTATCTGCTTTCTAATGAAAATTAAAAACAGATTTTAAGTTAGCCTCTGTTCAATTGATTTAATATCTGGGGCTCTTTGTATACCCTATTTTCACTGACAGGTCGACATTGATGTATGGCTTTTGCTCTATTTAAAATGAAAATATTTAAACAATTTTCTTTATTTTAAATGACAACAAAATGTACAGCTATGCACAGCCTAACCGTTGCAAGTGAAATGCTGGTTTTTTTTTTTAATCCTTAGCCAATTTGTCATTTTTTTTTTTTGCCAAAATATAAATGGTATACTTCATTTACTTAATATTGAAGAACATTTTTTATATATATAAATGAAGTAATATATATATATTTTGCATATTATTATATGGTGTAGGCTCAGTGCGTGAACCTAGTTTTTCAGATCCAAACAATTTTATAAACCATGTTTCTGTCCAGGTTTCGTATCGCCTTTGTTCGGTTACTGGTTTGGTTCATAGTAACTAATCCATTGGAGTTCAAACTTTTTGATTCTGTTCCATTTAATTATAATAATATCGTTCCAATAAAGAGCAGAAATTCGAACATAAATTATACAACGATGATATAACATGCTTAAAGTGCAACTAACCCATTGAAAATATAATGATAAGAATGGCCTATCTATCTTAAATAGACAAGGCAGCTGCTTTCGAACTATGTGTTACCATTTGCTTAGTAGTCAAAAGAAACCAAACAGAACGAAAGAAGCAACACGAACAAATATGTCAGTCGAAAATTAAAACATATAATTTGTAACCATATATTAAAGAAATTGTTTTGTTAAACATTTTTTTAGATAATGGCTGACCTTTTTAATTAAAATATTAATATCAAATTGCATCAAGGTCAAGCTTTTATAAATAAAATTAAATTGTAAGTATTGTAATTGTTATAATGTTTACGTTAAGCGTTTGAATGCTTTAATGCCATTGAAAACATCGTCTGGATTGTATTTGACCAATAGAATTTTCGCAATGAGTGCATTTCTGTGATATATACGATTGAGTTAAGACTGCGATCTGGCGATATTTCCGCCTCTTGTTTGGTTTATTGTAAAATATAAATAGCTTCTGGGCAATGCGTGAGTCCATTGAACACTGACTGGGGATACGTATTTATGTAAAAGCACGCATGTTTATGTATATGTATATTGGTGTATCTCTGCACTTAAGAATAGCGAGTTGTATATGTATTTTTAAATGCTGAGAAAAATCATTAATAATACTTTATTGTGCTGCTGTGTACTCGTGTTGCAACTTCGATCCACATGCTGGTCATTCATTTATATAAACGTTGAGCAAATCAACAGTTGTCTCGACTTATTAAATACATTTGTACATGTAAACATATATATTTATAAGTATATATATTCGAGATTATGTCAATACCGAGGCGGCCCATGTTGCAATTCTTTTGCCAGACGCTCTCGGGCTTTCTCTCACTCTCAGACTGTGAAGAGCAGTTTGCCAAAAAGCAGCTGCCCGGCGAGCTTTTCTGGTCACGCATCGCAACTGGCCGCCATTCCCAAAGAGATTCACTTAGTTGCTGAGCAAACGTCGCGACGCGAACGCCGGAGGCGCCCAACACCGTGTACCGTGCCGTGTCGCGAGATCCGTATCCGAATTCGTATGCAAATCTGAGTCCGAATCCGATACGTTTGCGTGCGTGTGTGCGATAGAAAAATCGGTGCCAAAAGAAAAGCAAGAAAGGGGGATAAGAAACGAAGCATATTGGCAATTTGATGCTGAAGCCAAAATAAATAGCATTTTCGCGATAAATTTAAATTTTTGCTTGCAAGCGATCTCAAGTTTTTGACAGCACGTAAAACCACACAAACCTACCCCCAGAACCGAAATACACAACCAAATCACAAAACGATTTAAAAACGAACTCAAAACGAATTTAACGAATTGGCTCTACAAATCCAGATTCAACCAAAACGAAAACTAAAACACAATTAAGCTCACTAACCCACTACTGGTTATTTCACCCCCTGCTCCTGATTAACACGCATCCAACCCGCAAGCTAGCCCTCCTTCCTATCCCCCAATGGCACCGCTGGCGCCTGTTGATGCAGCACTTGCTGACAGTGCTGACATTGCAGCTCCGCCAGCTGCCAAAGATGAATCTAAAAACGAATTAGAGTGTGAACCAGAGCAGGAGAAGGACACTTTTATGGCACGCGTATTGGCCGCCATGAATGGTATTACGAGAAACAATAACAACAGCAGCGGCAGCGGCAGTGGCTCCTCGCTGGGCACACTAAAGCCACCCAAGCCGCCCAGCAGCCAGGCACGCAAACAGCTGCGTCTGCTGCCCAAGCAGCGCGAACAGAGTCCCGTCCATGTGCTGACCAATGGACACAGCAACACCAATACACGCAACACACACCACACCAACCACAACCACAACAGCTACACGGCACGTGCCACAAGCCACAGCAGCAGCTCGCAGTCGCTTTCAACGTCCGGACTGGGTAATTACCAGACTAAGGACACTGAAAGCCACTACGAGATCTCGCTGAAACTGCCTCTTTCAACAGGCTCAGGCTCAGGCACGGCAACAGGCACAGGGGCATCTGGAGATGCTGCCATGGATCGATTGCGCCTGCTGACTCGCTCGCCCAGTCCAGCTTATTCAATTTCCTCACGCTGCTCGACACAGTCAAGTGTTTCGCGCACATCGCGCCTGGAAACGCCGCCGCGTCGCGTATTTCCGCAGAGTTACACGAAGGGCAGTGGCTTGGATCCGTATGAGATGCGTCAGCTGGAGAGTTCACCAGTGGTGTTTGATGCGAATCTGTCGTTTGTTCTGGGTTGCCAACGGCAACCGGTGCATCAGACGCTGCGTCCGACGCCCTCGTTCGAGGATCCGCGCACCTCCTCCGCCTACCTAAGCGAGAAGATACAAAACTTTCTCAAGCGCACCGACCACGTGCAGGAGGAATGGACAGCCATGGGACGGCGCACGCGACGCCACAACAGTAGCAGCAGCAATGCCAGCGCCACAAATGGAGTTGGGGGCGGTTACAGCAGTCGCTGCAGCACGCCCAGCGGCAGCTCGGTGTACTATGATGATTACGATACCATCTCGTTGATTGAGCGACAGCGCGAACGCAACAGCATGGAACGCTGCGGCTCGGTGGGGCGCACACGTTCCGCCCAAAACATATTGACCAAGGCGTTTCAGCTATCCAAACAGCTGCCGCACACGCCAACGTCGCGTGGCAACTCCGTGGCCAGAGAATCATCGTTGCCCACCACTGCGATGAATGGAGATGATGACGATGACGATCGCACCATACGTGAGGAGGATGACAATCAGCTGGATGAGGTAGTTGCTGCTGTTAACCTTGAGCTTGTCGGTCTTTTGATTTCTTATTTAATTCTCTATGTGCATGTGTGGGCAGTTGACATCATTTCGAATAATGACTCCGATCTGGCCATGTCTTGTCAGTTCTTGAGCACATTAATATAAATGATTCTTAAGTAAACATATGGTTGAAAAATTCCAATTCCATGCAACAACGCCGGCGCTGACATTGACTGCGGCATCCTCCGACATCGACGTCGAGGTGTTGCTAAAGTTAGCGTTTCACTTCAGATACTCGGGTCGATCTATTTCTGGATAACAACAAAATAATGCGTGAATCACGCCGCATGAATTCTAGAGGGACTTGGCGAGGGAATATTCCATAGATTCGTTTCTTGTTTTTAGAGGATGACATGATTATTGAATAAAATTTATTAGTACTTAAAAATGTTCTGATGCATATTTACGTTTGAAGACCGTATTTCACTGATCGAATCAAAAGATATAGATTGCATATATATGGTAGATACATATTGTCGCCTTTGTAACTAGACGGCGAAAAAACATTTTGTTATGAATTTTTTGTCTATTCTTGCGCCCTTAAATAAAAATTCACCTAGATTAAAATTAATATCCAATAGCACCTTTCTCCAGCTCTTTTACCTTTTACAAGTTTCTTATAGCTTAATAATAATGTACGCTCTCCAAGATTTTCTTCTACCCGCAAATAGTTTTTAAAAAAATTATTCAAAAGTCCCAATATTTTACTGAAATTCACCTAAACAATATTGTTTACCCCTTTTTTTATTTTTACCCTTATATATATGCATATGTATATATAACATTTATTTATATTATGAATATTTCAAAATTTAAAAATATTTAGAACCTTTTTTGAAAGTGATAAAAATTTTTATTAAATTAATAATTAATTTCTTGCCTTTTAAGGAAATTAAAATTGAAATTTTATCTTATCACTTTTAAGCTTCTTATTATGTTGTACTCAAAATTAATACAATTAATTTTTCTTTAAGAACTTTTTAATTTTTCCATTGACAATCTGTGGGTCGAGGTCATTTGCGCAACGCCTCTATTGCTCAACTTAGCATGCCGATAGGATAAATAAATATGTATTCCAACTGTTTATAAATATGCCATAGAAATGAGTTCAATATGAAACACGTAAAACAAAGATTTTTCACGCGAATTTCTGACGAACATTAGGAACTTTTGGCAAACTAATACGATTTTGCACATAGTAATGCCAAATTGTTTGATTTCCCTTCACGCTTCTCATTTGCAGTTATCCGAGCTGACCGTGGATCTGGCAGAGGAGCGTTCCACGGCGCATATTGCCACCGAGCGTCTGGAGGCGGAGACTGCTGAACGGCTGAAGCTGGAAAAGGAGCTCGGGGAGCATCAGACCAAGGTGAAGAACCTACAGGAGATGAGCGAGAAGCTGGAAATGGAGCTAATATGCGCAAAATCCGACTTGAATGGCATCTCTGAGGATGAGGACGTCGAGCACGAAGAGGGCAGCGGTGGTGTTTACAAACTGAAGTACGAGCGCGTAGCCAGGGAACTGGAGTTCACCAAGCGGCGACTGCAGACACAGCATGAGCATGATCTGGAACAGCTGGTCGGGCTCAAAAAGCAATTGGAGAAAAAGGTGTGTTGTCTGAACACTAGCTCGAAGTAACTTGATCTGAGCTTTCCCACATTCGCAGCTATCCGATGCCTACGAGGAAGTTGAGGAACAACGTCAGGTTGTGGGCCAATGGAAACGCAAGGCACAAAAGATGACTAACGAGATGAATGATTTGCGCATGCTGCTCGAGGAGCAAAATGCACGCAACAATTTGCTGGAGAAGAAGCAGCGCAAATTCGATGCCGAGTGTCAGTCCCTGCAGGATGCATCGCGCCAGGAGCGTCAGGCCAAAGAGCGCTACGGACGCGAAAAAGATGTTCTCCAAGCTGAGAAATTTACGCTCGAGCAAACGCTGGCGGTGAGTAAGACGAAACAGATATATAATACATATATACATGTTTAATGTATACAAAAGTAGCAAAATAGTACAGGCGAGACTCGAAAATTAGAGCATTGTTATTTTCTTCAAGAGTTACTTTTATTTGGGAAATATTTTTTGTTATTCTTGTATGCATTGCATTTTAAACTTATTGATAAGTAAAGAAATTAATATTCAGAAATGCAAGAAAAAACATACGAATATAATATATATCTATAGAGGTTACAATAACCAAGCAAACACTGTACGCGGACATGCTCTATTAGTGAAATCACGACAAGCAGAAACTTTGTGTTGCTCAGCGAAGTGGACAACCAAACACCTGGTTAATTGAGCAACAATTATCTATTACAATATCAGTCCAATTTAATTCGTAATTTAAATTGAGCTCAAAATTCCAATTAATGATTCACTTTCGATATTGCACACAACGTGAATCATATACATCACACAAAATAATGGCCTTGATTTGTTCCCTAGTTCACGCTTCCATCTCTAGTTGCGCAAGCAACATAAATGTTGCCAACATATGTTGCTAAGCAGTTGACAATGTTGCAGAACGCTTAGCACGCTTCTGGCTAGAAAAAAATCGCTGAAAGAGGCCAAACAAAAAATAATAGGCAACATTTGGTGCTCGAGAGCAGGACAGAATGAAAACTCAGGCAGGCAAGCAAACAAATCGGTTTTATAATCAGCTCCGGCAACAACAAGTGGCAGTGCCAGTTTCAGTGGCAGTGGCACATTCAACATTTTGCGGCAGATACAGATATATGCAGTATCTGAAGACCTACCTCTTTGAAAACTCGTTCGGCTTGTTTACCCACGCCGCTGGCCGACTGTCTGCCCGACTGACTGACAAACCATCTGCGTGTATACAATGGCAATTTTCAACTACCTGCCCACACCATATGCATGCAACTTGCTACACGCTCCACGCAACATACTCCCTGCCACATGCTCTTTCTTGTGTATTCTAAGAAGGTTTTCCTTAGATGCGCTCAGTTGAGTGCGATTCGAGTTCAGCTGAGTGGTTTTTGTTGATACCCTAGAAGAGGGTATTTCCATTTGCCACGAAAAGCGAAACACATAAAAGCAGGCCCCTACGAACCCATAATATGTTCTTGTCGTCGGATAGAACCACTATCTCATATAGCTGCCTTGTTTTTTAATATATTGTGGCCAAACATGGCTCTGTTCATGTTCCACACATATTTGTCAAATTTTGTCAACATCAGTGGACTTCTAAATCATATATCTTCAGAGGACAAATTAATCGAAAGAGCTTATCAAGATATCTTGTCATACCTTGAGAGCTATAATGCTCACTTTCTAATTTGGTGGACAATTTTTAAAGAAGAGTAGAAAACTACTATATCAATATCGAAAGTCTTATGTCCGCAAGGGTATTTAATCTTCGCTTTGGCAAAGATAGCGACTCGTTCTGGTTTTTCTTTTGTGGGTTCTCATGTTTTTATCGGCCTGTACTGAGGCAGTTTGCGTCACAAGTTTCTGTCTCTGCTCTTTGTGACTTTCTTCAGCGACGATCGCTGGCGATGACTGTGGTCGGGTCAGTGGTTGTATGGACGTCGAGGCGCGATAACTGGAGTACGTGCATACAGACAAACGCACATCTAAGGGAAACGACCAGTTCCACGAAAAAATAATAAAAAAACAACAACAATTATAATAATTATTATAATCATAATAAGTAGAATTTCGACTCGGGCCGCGTGATAACTGGCCGGACAGAGCTGTGCCCCGATTTTTTTTGTTTTTATATCCAATTCCATATCCATATGTGAAACAATTTACTCAGTGCTCGCTCAAGTACAGCCATGAGTATCAGCGCCACATGTGCAACTCGGTTGATAAAAGTACGTGCATTTGGTGGAACCGGGGCGGGTCGAAGCTATCGAGCGGCTTTCTCTGGTTTTTATCGGATTTGTAATTGATATTGTACTTGTAGGATACGCGTCTGGATCTAGAGCTAAAAGAGGAAAAGCTGGCCTCGCTGCAGCGTGAGCTGGAGGAGATGACCTTTGGCGGTGGCACTGAGGAGGAGTTTGCGCAGCTTCGACGCTCCAAGAACGAAACCGAGAGGCGCGCCAAGGAACAGGAGGAGGAGCTCGACGAAATGGCTGGGCAAATACAGCTGCTGGAACAGGCCAAGCTGCGTCTGGAGATGACCCTAGAGACAATGCGTAAAGAGGCACGTCGTGAGTCACAGCAGCGGGACGAGGAGCTGGAGGAGGTGCGTGGCAATGGCTACAAGAAGATCAAGGCGCTCGAATGTCAGCTGGAAACAGAACATGAGGAGCGCACGCTGCTGCTACGCGAAAAGCACGAGCTGGAGCGACGCCTCTCCTCAATGGAGGATCGCGATCGTGTGGATCGTGATGCCGAGGAAGCGCTTAATCAAAAGCTGCGTCGCGACTTGCGCAAGTACAAGGCGCTACTGAAGGATGCTCAGACGCAGCTGGAGCGACTCAAAGCGGATACGCCTGGCAAAACACTTATCCGGCAGCTGCGCAATCAGCTGGAGGATGCGGAATCTGCGCGCACTTTGGCCATGAAGGCGCGCCAGACAGCCGAAGCGGAGCTGGCCGAGGTGCAAGCCATGTTTGAGGAGTCGCATAGGGCGCGCAACGATGCCGAGGAACGGGCCAATGCGGCGCATCGCGATCGCGCCGAACTGCAGGCGCAGATCGAGGAGAACGAGGAGGAGTTGGGCGAGCTAATGAAGAAGTACAGCGCCACCGTTAAGCAGCTAAATGCAGAGCAAGTCAACGTATCCGAAACAGAATTCAAGCTCACTGAACTCGAAGCTGAGCGCAACAATCTCAAAGAGCAGGTGGCTGAACTGCAGCACAGACTCGATAATGTGGAGAACCTGGGTGATCCCTCCATTGCTGTCATGTCCAAGCGGTGAGTTGATAAACAGTTCTAATAAAAGAAATAGTTTCTTATGATTTCACATTTTATATTTTACACAGTTTGGAAATGCGCACAAAGGAACTGGAGTCACGTCTGGAACTGGAGCAGGCGACACGTGCACGTCTCGAAGTGCAGGTGAGCCGGCATAAGGAAGCGCTGGAGAAGCTGCAAAACGAAGTAACCCAGTCAAAGCTGCGTGAAATGCAGTCACAGGATGTGCTCAAAAAATCTCAAAAGAGTTTGCGTGACATGCGCGAGGAATATCATTCGCTCTCCAGCCGTGAACAAGAGTCTCTGACGCGTCGTAAGGATCTGGAAAAGAAAATGGAGGTTATGGAATCAGAGGGCACGGCGCTAAAGAACGACTTGCGCTTGGCGTTGCAACGCATTGCGGATCTGCAGCAGGCCATGGAGGAGGAGGGAGAGGAGGAGCTTAGCGAGAGGTAAACACGTATATATGCTCAGTAAGGAGCTAAACTAATCGGTTTATATTTGCAGCGAGGAGAGCATCAGCTCTGTGGGCTCCATTAGCGATTTGGAAGAGCGACTGCGACCCGTGCATGTCAAACGCAGCTCACAGCACTCATTAAACGGCCCCACCATCCCACCCAGCACCACACGCACGCTGATCTGCGAAAAGGACGACAACAGCCCTAGGTACGCTGATAACGAAGTCAACTCAAACAGCAGGCAGCACAAGCACTAAGCACCGTAGTCGCATTAGCTCGATAATACCTATATATGCATATGTATAACTATCACTAGTTAGCTAGCTAGCTACTTAGCTTATAAGGTCTGTTTTTGCCGGCTTATCTAATTAACATAATTACTTCATACATGCAAACTACAAACTACAAACCATGCCAACCACACATCCGAAACTGACCCAAAAAATCAACAAAACAAACGCCGCCTCCCGCCATCAACCAAATGCCAAACGAAATTGAAAAAAAAAAAAAACTAAAAAACAAAACAAACTCATAAAAACAAAAAACATAAACTAATATGCTTTGTAAATATGTTTATGCAAAAAAAAAAAAAAACAAAAACACATCCCGCCTTCCAAAATGCCTATCCAAAAACAACAACAAACAATGCGCCCCCCTCTCTTGGTGTGCGTGCGTATGTGCGTGTGTGTGTGTGCGTGTAAATCATTAGCTTTTTCTTATTGTAGAATAACAGTGACGTCGCCGTCGTCGCCACACATACATAAACTGGCACTGGCGGCTAAAGCCATACCGGACCAAAAACCGGACACGACATCTGCAGCATCCGCAGCTAAGAAAACAACAACAACAACAACAGCAGCAACAACAAGCGCAGCAGCAGCAACAATAGCAACAAAGATCCTGCAAAATGGACTAGAAACCGCTGGCTAAATACCCTAGAAACATCTCTATGCACTGGAGCTGCAGCTGTACGTGTTTCTTATCCCTCTCTCTCTCTCTCTCTCTCTCTTCTCTCTCCTTCTATGTAATATTAATTAGTTTTGTTTTTTTATTTTTATTTGATTACTGTTTAGTTCAATATGTTTAACTATTTATTATTGAAATATAGCTACATATATATAAATATATATAAATATAATAAACACAATATGTAATGCAGTTTCCATTCGTATGGAATCGTAGTTAATTTAATTTGCGCGACAGTCCCTATAAACAAGAACAAAAGTGATTAACATGTTTTATCCTTCTCGAAAAGAAACACTAACGTTTGATATTTAAAAATGAAATATAAAAAACACCTATAGCATATAATCCATTTTCCTATAGCCAACTTAAATGAAATTAGTTAAACGCGTTTCAAAATCATAGACAAGTATGCATAATATGCGAAATAATAAACGTTTTACTAAACTAAATTCAATACTTAATACATTTATATAAACAAATATCAACAGGCCTATGATCAATATTTTACATACAGCTCTCATGACAAATGCATCCGATAGTCAAGAAACATTAGCAACATTTTTCACATAAATCATCAAGAATCAAGAATATTATATATTCGTAAACAAAACATTTGCAAAATTAAATTAATCAGAAAAATACACATAATAAAATATAAAAAACAAACAAAATTTGAAAATAACAAATAAACATATTGTTATAAAAGCCAAGATTTTTATTTGTATGGGTTTCGTTGAAATGGAATGGTATGCTTTAAGGTTGCGGAATCACATTTTTTTTACGAAAATAAATAATTATTTTTTCGATTTTTTTTTCGATAAATTTGCATAGGATTTTGTGAACAACCTTTGCACAATAGTAGTGGGAGTAGATGTAGGAATTATCCTTTTGTTTTAAAGACTATAACTAAAAGCTCGAACTTAATTCTTTTCATTGTCAAAATGGATTTATTTTATAACGAGAGAGTAAGGATATCTTCAGCATGTTAAAGATTTTATGCCCTGTAGACATTCTACTTACGGGCTTAGCTGATCTTTATGAATATATCTTGGAAAACACTCTATAGACACTCATGTTTTCGACCGAGACTTCCCATAGAGTTATATAATAATTTATCCAGCTTAAGTACGGATATCTTTATAAACAAAAAAGTTCTTTAGATATGAACCTACTTTATTGCAGCTATAATAAATAGTATATATAACACATTTCACGACAAAATTATAATACCGTCCAAAATCGTTTAACAAGTGTAAGCAGTTATCATTGGGGTGCTCAAGATTATATATTTTAGCAGACATATACATACCCCCATAAAAGTGTTTTTATACAAAAAGTCAATTCCCCGCCGATCTTTACTACGATATGGTATAATATATTTTCAATTTGTTCGACCAGCTACCATACGGCAATGGATTTATCATTTACCATGGAGGTCGAATATATCTTCTTCATTGTGTTACTTATTTCGTAACAAATAGCTTTCTCTATTCCGTCCGTTAAAACAAATACTTAACCTTTTAGCACGCCAATAAATATCTCCGTTAACTTTTAATACGAAATTTGTAATTTATTTTAACGTGAAGGATAAGACTAAAATTAGCTTTGGAAACCACTACACTATACTACATAAATCTTGCGCAATTCTGATTATCTAATGGATCACATTTTCAAAAACCGATTGCTTAAAGTGAAGTACTTATAAAAGTTGTTGCCACGTGCCAGGTACTCAACTGCAATTGCTTGACCCCAAAAGCTAAATTGACTTTCGTCAAATGTCAGTGCAAGTATGAAAGGGCCTCTGAATTAGCCCAAATTGCACCACTTGCACCATTCATTGATTCATTCGTATAAGCACGCACGCCTCTAGGTCGAGGTCAATGATTGAAGACTTGAAAGAATTGTAAGACATGCCCATACCCATGCCAAGGTGAAGGGGAACAGGTGGTGTAGCTAAAGAAGTCGCACCCGCAACTGAAGGCCCATTAAGTGGCACCGTTTGTCAGCCGCGAACGACTTTGAAAGTTGCAACAACGCCAACGCCTGGGAATGTTTGGCAAGCACGCAACTGTCGACGTCACGGCTGCGGCAACTTCAGAGCACTTGAAGACACTTGTTGTACTTGTACCTTGAATAAAAACAACACGGCTATCATCAATCAGAATAGCGGCAGCTGTCAGCTGCAGATGCGACTAATAATAACCACTGCAACGACTTTCCAATCAAAACAATGCCCTCGCCGGGCCGCAACAAGTGTTGCCCGTGGCTACTGGGCTGCCTCAAGAGTGGGTGGTGCTGGACTACCTGGCCTGCATGGCCTGACAGTTGAGCTGAACTCAAAACAACCCGTCAACTAGGCGACTGTCAAATGCGCCACATATCCGTAGTTCGTAATATCGACCAAACAGCAGCAAGCAATATAATGTGAACTTTAAGCGACTTTCTGGGTCTCCGCTTGGCGCAGACATAGATTGGATTTCAACCTATACGGAACGTCCTAGAAAGAGCAGCACCGAAACCTGCAACACACATAGGTGTCAGTTGATTGGTCCATATTAAATCCAAATCATGGATGATCGCACTATAGACTCGATATTTCTGGGCTCCCTGGAGTCCCTGCCGCCGGTTAGTTCGAAGATTGTGCGTATTTTTACCAGCTCCACGTTTACGGGTGTGTTACAAACTACATGTGTTTCATCATGTGTGAGCTCTTATGTAATCGCGTATATTCCATAAAATAGATACCACAATGGAGAGAAACACACTGATGGCCAAGTGTTATCCCAGAATCAAGGACTATTGTCGCGAGAAGCACGGTCTCGAATTCCAGGTGGTCGACATGCGTTGGGGTGTTCGAGATGAGGCCACAGACGACCATATGACCACGGAGCTTTGCATGCGTGAGATCAAAAATTGTCAGCGTCTATCGATGGGACCCAATTTCATTGTGTTTTTGGGCCAAAAGTATGGTTACCGGCCCATACCCACATACATAGTCTCCTCGGAGCTGCAGCTGATATGCGAGGAGCTGACATCCATGGGCGTGGATCGTGCACTGCTCGATCTGTGGTATAAAAAGGACAGCAATGCCGTGCCGCCCATATCAGTGCTGCAGCCCATATCTTCGATATTGATTAACTTTAACAACAAGGTAAATTTTGACAGCCGGCAGACAACAGGCCCCGAATTAGCCTCATCTCTTTTACAGCGCGTGCCCAAGCTTCAGGCGGAGGATCAGGCCGTCTGGTGGGATACGCTAAACAAGATGCAAAAGCTGCTGCGTAAGGCCACCGCCTCGCTGGGCGCCAGCAATAAGATGTCCAAGGAGGATGTTCACAACTATTTCATGTCGGGTAAGTCGGGAGATGGACAATAAATACCGGAGATCAACTCCACTTTGTTACGTTCATTTAGTTACGGAGAGGGAGGTGATCAATGGCGTTTTGAATGTGAAGAATACCAAGAATCATTGTCTGGCCTATGTGCGCTATATAAACAATATCAATTTGCAAAACTTGAAGAAGGCCTCGCTCTTTGTGGACATTATTAATCGTAGCCTGGACACGGAGTCTGCCAAATTACTGAGTGACCTAAGGGATACGCGCCTGCCCGCCAAGATCGAGGCGAGCAACGCACAAAAGTGAGTAATAATATTATAATTTGGGTCGCTGCTTTGAGTTTAATGGCTGCTCCATTTCCAGATACACTGTGGAGTGGATTGGTCGTGAGGGCCTAGACATTGAGACGCACGAGGAGTATTTGAATCATTTCATTTCGCACTTCTATAAGAACGTTGTTAAGCTCGTGGATAGGGCCATGCGCAAAGAAGACTCCAGTGCACAGGGGCAGATAGTAACTGAGATCCTTCAGCATTTGCATGCTTGTAACAATTCGGTGAAAATCTTTTACGGCCGCGAAGAAAGTTGCGAACGTATCAAGCGCTATATGCTGGGGGATTCAGATAAGCCACTTGTCCTTTTTGGCGACGGAGGTTGTGGAAAAACTTCCTTGCTGGCCAAGAGCGCCTCGCTGGTAGCCAGCGAATGGTTTGCCGATAAGCGACCCATCAATATAATCCGCTTCCTAGGCACAACCCCGGACTCGAGCGCCTTGACGGCCACTCTCATATCAATATGCCAGCAGGTGATATCAATCCATTATTTACAGCCACAAAATGTATTCATTTAGTTTTTCTACTACCCTAAAAAAATATATATATTTTTATATGTATATATATGAACTATGCAGATATCGTACAACTATATGCTACCCTTTGAGAATATACCAGATGATCTTGTACCCCTAACAGCACATTTTAAGCAATTACTAACTTATGCTAGCCCCACTCAGCCGTTAACCATATACTTAGATTCAGTCGATCAATTGACGGGCACTCAAGACTCAAATAAGGTATCCTGGATACCAACGCGCTTGCCAGCCCACTGTAAGGTGAGTGCGAGGACTATCGCTGGGTTAACTGCTGTTCACCTAGCTAAATGTCCCCATTTAATGCATGTACTTACTACATACCATTTAATGCATGCCCCTTGTATATACATATAAGGTCCTCTTTCTACTGATTCCACTATGTACACGGTTAGATATCTGAGTTCTTGATTTTTTCATTATTTCCACTATTTACTCAACGTTTAAATAATTATTCTCAAATTAAAATTTTTTGATGGAAATATATTAAATTGAGAGCTAAGAGATATGGACAACATTTATAGAGATTTTGGAAATTCTATAACAAAATTTGGTTTTAAATTAATTACAATAAAAGCAATTTCCCAAGAATCTAAATTTCAAAATTTGATTCGGATTTCTCAGACTGCAGTATATATTTATAAATTCTCAATTTTTAGCCAAGTGGAAAGTCCAAGATTTTTTCCGTGTAATTCTAAGAATTGTTGCTAGCCGAAAACTCACTTTGTACATATTCTTGCACAGACAATCTAATCTGTAATATTTAAATTTTTTACTGTTTACCAATCGAGTCAAAAAAACCCAACTATATTGGAATGTCGCGAATATGCAATAAATTTTCTTGTTTCTATTTAAGCTCTATTAAGTTAGGCGCTCCTTAGTAAGCACTGCATGAAAATACATTTAAGAAACAATAATTTTTAGAATTATTTCCATTTTAAGTTTTCAAAAATTGCATGCTGCTCATATCAGGTATATGTACATACTATATATATTATGTATCAGCTAATATAACAATTTTCTATGGTTTTTCCAATCGGTGTAAGTTTTTCCAATTGCTTGACATGTGCGTGCTAAACAATATCACTCACACATAACACGCCAAATAACTTACTCTTGGCACCCTCACCCAAAACGACTCCCGTAATGCCGTTCTGCATGAGGCAAATACTGAAGTATCATATACTTCTACCCTATCTGCTGTGTGTGTGTGTATAAATGCCATTGGGATTGCTTACAGATCATCATTTCGTGTGCAAACGAACCGGCTAATCCGATTGTTTCCCATGAGTATCATGTGCTGTGCAAGATGATTGATGTGGAGGAGAACTTCATAGAGGTGACGGCGCTGGGGGAGGAGCTGGCCATGAACGTGATCAAAATGTGGATGAAGACAGCGTGTCGCGATCTGAACAACTATCAGTGGCGTTTGGTGGCCAATGCGATTAGCAAATGTTCCCTGCCCATATTTGTGAAGCTGGTTTTTGCCGAGATATGTCGATGGCGTAGCTATACGCGTCCACAGGAGACCCATCTAGCCAATACAGTGATGGACTCAATTATGTTGCTCTTTGAGCGTGTGGAGAAGCAGCATGGTCGCATCCTGGTCTTTCATGCCCTAGCCTACATAACGGCCTCCAAATCGGGCCTATCCGAAAGCGAACTTGAGGATTTGATCTCACTGGACGACAAGGTCTTGGATGATGTCTACCAGTATCATATGCCACCAGTGCGCCGTATTCCCCCACTGCTGTGGACGCGCATCAGAAACGATCTGCCCAACTACTTGAGTGAACGGGAAGCGGATGGCGTCAATGTTATGAACTGGTACTATTAGTGCGGGCTTTCTAAACATTCGGTTATGACTTGAAAAGGCGAGGGAATCCATCAAACGACTTAATTGACAGTATTTTTTGTTCATACTACTAGTTCGGAAAATGAGAAACTATTGCCATTAATCGCTTTCACTTTCGCATCCAATCGAGTTTTTACTCATTTGCATAGACCTATGTGAAGATAACGTCTTTCAAAAACATCTTAAAATATGTACATCCTATAAGTAGTAAATCGGTTACAAAGTTGTATTAGACATATTTTAATAGGTTTTTGAATATTTAGAGAACCTACTACTAAAAACTAGTGTCGAACATAAACTTGTTTTCGGAATTGCACTTTGTTTGTAATTTGTTAAATAGTCAAATATTTATGAAGAAGACACTTTGAACTTAACTTTTAAAAAATTGGTATATTTATATATCTTAATAGATATAAGAAGACAAACTAACCTTTAAAAATGTATCAAGAGTTATATTAATCATTATTATATAGTGTTGATATTCTAGATCAGCATCAACAGCCAAGTTTATATAGTCATGTCCGTCTGAGCGTCTGTCTGTTTCTATGCAATCTCTCAGTCTTAAATCTATATCACATATGTAGGTCAGTTCTTCTGTTGCAGGCATTACATACATATAGCTGTCATGTGAGCGATCGGTCGAAAACTAAGTTCTTGTATGAAAATCATTTCTTTTTCAAGCAGCATGGTCGCATCCTGGTCTGATATTTCGACCAAATCTAAGCCAAATCTTATCAAGATCGCATTAACCATTATAATAATACTATTTTTACTATTACTATTACTATTTTTGTACAAGACATAATAATACATCTATATTGTACAACATCATGTGCTCCACAGGTACCACAGACAGTTCAAGGACACAGCCAAGGAACGCTACTTTAAGAACATGAACATGGCCATATATTTTCATTCCATGATTGCAGATTATTATTTGGGGATCTGGGGCGGCGGCATACCGAAGCCGTTTAAGTTTACGGAGATTCAGAGACATCGTTTCGGGCTGGCTGACAAAGAGGGCTCCGCGGATCGCAAGGTGCCCATACAGCCGTTGGTCTTCACCAGCAAGGATGGCCTTTCCAAGCGTTACAACCTGCGTAAGGTATGTGAACAATGCCTATCCAAGCCAAAACCTCGCCTGACTCTGGCCATCTCCCTGCAGTTCGGAGAGCTGCCTTTTCATTTTGTGCGCTCGCGGCGCTTCAAGGATCTGTTCGAGCACGTGCTCTTCAATTATGAATGGCTGCATGCCAAGCTCTCGAGCTGCCCCCTGCAGGCGGTGCTGGCTGACTTCGAAGATGCCTCCACCAACACAGAGGACAAGGAGTCGAGGCGTGAACTGATGCTGGTGGCGGATGCATTGCGCTTGGGCGGCGCTATCTTGGCCATATATCCTAACATGCTGGCTCCGCAACTTATCGGACGTTTGCTGCCCGAGATTGGCGGCAATCCCAATATCAAGATGTTGCTACGAGCTTGTGATCGTAGCGGACCCAAGGACTGCGCCTTAATTCCGGTCAATCATTGCCTGCATACACCCGGCGGACCACTCAAGGTGGGTATAGAGTTGGTTTCCAATCGTAGCTTATTGGACTTCCTTTTGCAGTACTCACTGGAGGGGCATCAGTTTGCTGTGTTTGCCTTCTGCCTGACCAGCGATATGCGTTACATGGTCTCGATATCGACGCACTTCATTACCTTTGATTTGTCCACCTCTGATCTGACGCGAGATGTGAATCCCGGCATCGAGGGTATCATGCAGCAGCTGGTGCTTAGCCCAGACAACAAGTGGGCAGCTGCCTACTCCAACAACAATCAGACGGTGCTGCTCAACATGCTTTCCAGTGAGTTTGTAGTGATTAACAGTCCATTCGAGGAAAGCGACGGACCAGTTAGCGGCCTGTATCTGCTGAACCAAAAGTAGGTTGTCATGTGGTTGAATTTACCCAGGTACTAATCGCTCTTTAGCTTATTTATCATTTGCAAGCTGCGTTGGGCTAAATTTGATATGCGTGGCAATTTGGTGGATATATTTGAAGTACCGGGCCAGATTACGGATTGGGAAATCTTGAGTAAGTGGCTATTCCTACTGTTGCCTAGGGAACATCGAATACATATTTATGCTTTTCATGCAGCCATGGAATTCTTCAGCCCAAAAGATTACAATGTCATCTTCTGGTCGGGCTCCATTAATGAAATACGTTTGCGTTTGGACTCGTGCCGCTCAGGCAACTACTCCAATTCGGTGCACTTCTTCAGTGCTTTGGTCATGAACAAAGGACGCACGCGCGCCTATGGCTGTGCCAGCAACGATAACTTTGAAGTATCCGTCTACGAATTCACTGAGAACGAGGAAACTGGTGAAATATACTGGACCTACCTGGAGAAACTGCCCCGCTATGAGAATGATGACAAGGAAATGCTGCTGCAGCTGCGCTTGGATCAGCATCAGCACGATCGCATGCTGCTTGGCACCGCCGGCAAGGGCTTTGTCATCTGGGATTTTGGCAGCCAGGAAAAGGAAAGTGAGCGTGAACCCATAACTGAGGGCGCAATGTACCTGGCTCTGCCGCATGGCGTCAGGAACATAACCACCCGCATCATGCAATCGAATTCCATTATGGTCAGCTCCAAATTGGACTATGCGGTGGCTGGCGTACGCAAGAATCTGTACGTTTGGTGCCTCCACACCGGACAGCTGGCCAAGGTCTTGGATGCACATTTCGGACGCATTATACAACTAGAGCCGCTAACCATTGGCAATTGGAACAATTTGGTTACTTCCTCCATAGATCGCTCCGTAAAGGTGTGGAACATAAATAATATATTTGAAAAGGTTCACGTAATTGATCGTCATGAGCTGCAAATCGATGACATCAGTCTCTCCGAGGTGGATATAGCTGTGACGGTGACACGCAGCTGTGTTGGCGTCTGGGAGACGCGCTCCGGACGCCTGCTAGCCAAGCTGGCCGACAGTCCCTTAGGCGCTATTGTTACGCATGCTGAAATCACGCCAGACGGTCGATATATCATCTCTTCGGAAACGGGCAAATTTTTAATCTGGAATCGTGTATCCGAGCAAGTGGTTTATCGCGATGATCAGCCGGGCATACAGCAGATAACGCTCATGGATTATGGATATAAGGTTCTCGCCGTATCGGTGCCCAACATCAATCAGCGAGATATCATTGCGGCGGCGTCGGCGGGTGCCGATGAAGCGAACCGCTTAACGGCCATAACAACACTTCGTTCGATTCCAGGTTGGATTCAATATGAACCTACGAAACATATAACTTGAGAACTAACATAACTTTATACTTCTTTCTACCAGAGGGAAATATACTATTTCGCTTTGATTTTCCCATACGCATGGTGACTGGCATGCCGTTTCGCCAATCAGTTATCACAGCTGACAAGGCCTACATCATAGTGGTTACTTTGGACAAATCCAACAAAGATTGCCTGGGGGTTTATAGCGCCACAAATGGCGCATTCGTATCCAAAATACTGCTCAAGGGTTGTGCCATTAAGGTGGGTCAATCCTCTCTTTGTCCATTCCATATTTTATTCCATATGTACTGCAATTACAGGAGGTTTTCTCGCTGGTGCCCATGCCGCACAAGGCCAATCAAGTGGCTGTGATCAGCAGCGAGAAGGGCAGCATTATGGACATTAAGAGCAAGAAGCATGTCCGCTCCATAGCTAAATGGGGTGGCAGCCTCACACGGGATGGCAAATGCGGTCTATATGCCCCAACGAGAGGTGGCCTGGAACTACTAGAGCTGCGCAAAGGCACCACGGTAAAAACATTTATACCAAAGGTGGCCGAGGGCGTCTTCTCCGTCATTTGCATATTTACGGAAAACGATGAGTATGTGGCGTATTATCATAGCGGCAGGAAGACAATTCGCGTCTTTCGCACCGCCGACACAGAGATGTTAGCCAACTATAGGCTTCAAGCCGAGCTTACCGCCATCAAAAGCAGCAAAGATGGACGTGCCATTGTGCTGGGCACTGTCGATGGCTGTATGTCAGTGTTGGCCATTGTGGATCCCAAAAAGGAGGAAATGATGGAGTACTTGAATGAGCTGCCGTCGCGCGATGAGAACTGGAAGGCCAAGCTAGCTAAGATGAAGGCGCGCGTTGGTTTTAAGGCGGCTATACGAGTAGCTACCATTTCCTCGCGCTATGCCAGGCCCAAGAATGGCGAGGGTGACGGCGAGGATGAAGAGCTAACGGAAATAACCGAGGACATGGTGCCCGTGGCGGATTAGATGAAGTATAAATATAACATTTATTTTTTCTTTTGCATAAATAATGGGCATGGTACAAAAAATACGTGTACGTGGATGTGGATGTGTGTGTGTGTGTGTGTGTTGCGGTTGTTAATCTTGATATAGCTTAAGCTAAATAATTGTTAAAAAACAAAACGAAACTGATAGCGTAGTAAATTGTTTGTTATATAGTTACGAGCTTGCATGTAGCATATTTGTAAAGTTTAAATAATAGTTTTTCTTTTTAAATCGCACTGCGCGCTTCGGCCCTTTGTCTGGCCTGGCTTAAAACAATTTCAATTGGAAACAGCGACATAACAAGGTTTATACATAATATGTTTCGAGGAAAAAACAGTTTTTTATTAACACACAAATCTTTAACATATGGTAACTTGTATCAACTTGAAATTTTAATTCATTAATAGGATAAGCTTTAAATGATTGTAAAATAAGCAAGGAACTAACTTAACGTCATGTGGAACATACTAAAAATTGTAATCTCAACTCAGGCAATCGAAATACGAATATGCCAATACCAAATCTAACCCAGTGCTAATACGTAGATGAATTTTTGCAGTACATTTGTTAGTAGTAATTAATAATAGTAGGTATTGTAGTATGCAATTGTTACTCATTATTGTAGTTGTTGTTAACCTGCCTTTTCAAGTTTTGCTTCGATTTGTTATTAAAAATTATGATTATACCGATAATCTATAAGCATGTTAAATAATAAATTGTTAATGTGGTTTAAGCTGGCGCCCTACGTGCTAGAGAGCTTATCTCGTTGCTGCTCAGCAATAATATGTAATATAAATATATATCATAATCCGTAGCAGAACAGCTATACAGTGCTAACTAAATAGTAATACGGCTCGTCCACACTTATTGGGCATGATTTTCCTTTTTAATCTGCGCCAGTTTTGCCTGTATGTGCTGCAGGCGGTTGGGCGATAGTTCGGGTTTCTGAAGAAGAAAGAGAATACATTGTAGCTTGTATAAGGCAAAATATTTTAATCGTATCATTTAATTAACTATGATTTAAATCAATTATTCTATGAACAATTAAATGTAGCTCGTTAAGGAGTTCTGACCGCACCCACCTCACGACGGATGAGCGACACTTTCTGTGAGTTCATTGAGTTTAGGCAGAGATTCTCGTCGGCCACCCTATTGTCCAGTATATTGGAGCCATCATCCACGTTGTGCCGTGTGGACATCATGTTCTGTAAACGGTCCATCCAATAGTCTGGGTCATGCACGGCATTTTGATAGTTGACATCTGTGAGATAAGAACGTGTAGCAGCTGCAGATTGATCCATTTCATATACATGTTAGTAGAGAGGCGGGGGTGGTTAATAAGGATATTGTGTGGTACTTCTGGACTTAACTAACCTGTACGATTGTCAAGCGCCTGCGTGGAGCCTGCATTCTGATTGCGTTCGATTTCAGCGAGCCCCTCCTCAATATATTTATGGAAAGTGGCGCTAGAGCCTTGCAGGAAAGTACTAAGATCTATATCCGGATTTTGCTGCTGCAGTGATGGAAGTTGGTTTAGTATTGGTCTGAGCCAAGCAATACAGGAACGTACCTTAAAGTCATAAAGCTTTTGCAGGCCTTGCTGTTTGGTATCTTTGTCCGAAATCAGTTTGAAGATCTGCGATACTGTGTCATGTGTTTGATGCGATATCCGCTTTCCGCCAATATCCTTAGCTGAAAATTGCTGACGCTGCGGCGAAACACCAGTGCCGGACACAGTGCTATCCTTTTGGAAATTCTATAAAAGGCGATTTTCTCTAGATTAGGACATATGCACTGTTCGCAAGCTTACCTTTAAGATGCGTATCAAATAAGTGTGTAGTTCCGAATGTGTGGGTATCTGATTGAGATGCTGTAAAATAGCATTACCCTTCACCTTGGCCATGTTGTGTATTATCGTTTTGACGGTGCGCAGTGGCGTATCTGAAGGTCGATTCTGCCACCAGGTGCTGGGCAGTGCCAGCATGAATTCATGCACCTCCAAGATGACCGCATCATAGTTAAGTTCGTTGGAGCGCTCAGGTAGCATTTTGATATTGCGCCAAATGCACTTCATCAGCAAATCCGTGAATTTGGGCAGACCGGCAACGGGGCAGGTCTCTCTGAGCAAACGAATTAAGGCGCTGCAGGAGATTAGAAGAGTGAGCATTTTATGTCGAACTCTGTATCACGTTTCGCTTACCAGTATATATTTGTAAAGTTGACCTTGTCCAACACTTTGAGGCATATGCCATTTATTACCTTATTGTATTGGCTATCATCCCCGCTGGTCAGCTTTTGATCAGCCAGCAAATGGAGCAGCGATGACATGAGATTCTTAATACACGCAACGCTCAGCGTTTTGCCGAGAATATTGGCATTGAAAAATGTGTACAAGATGGAAAGCAATGGCTGATAGACAACCAGCGCCTGCGATAAGGGCAGCTGCGAGAGGTTCTTTAAGGAAAAAAAAAAAAAAAAAATATGCATAATGTAGGGTACATTAGGAGTTCAACCATCCTAATCGACTCACCTTTAATTGTGCCAGCACATTTTGTATAAATATTTCCTCGTAGTCGCGCAATACGGCCTGTTTTTCGGGTGCCTCAATAATCTCCGTTAGCTCATTGATGGCGGCACGCGCTTTAAGTGTGTCCGTGCTGCTGACTGCTTTGATGATCTTTATCAGCTGCGGATCATGCTTGGGCAGCACATCGGCCAGGCTGTATGGGTCAGCGATTAGAAAGAATTTCAATCAGTTAATGATTTTTAACCTACTTGGGAACATTGTTTTCCAAATGGGATTGGTTTGTCAACAAATGCTGCTGCGGCAATCGCATGGGACTGCGGTAAGGTGAAATGCCGCTGGCCATGCTGGGATTTGCCTGCGGTGATGTGGTTAGATTTTGCTGTATGTAATGCGAGCGCGAAACGAGCCGATCGAACTTATCCTGCGGATACTGAAAGCCGTCTCGTGTTGGTATGACCTTGATGGGCTCGTAGAGCAGCGAAATGTCCACTGTGGGTTGATCATGAAAAACCATTTGATCGACGCGCACCCAGTTTTTCTCGATCTCGGACATCACCTGCGGATCAAGGCCAAACGGACCTGTTGTCCGCTGCTGCGCCGCCTGCTGCTGTTGGAGCTGCAGTTGTTGCTGCAGTTGCAGCACCTGTGCGGATGGCGCCTGATCAAATGTACTGCAGAAAGCGAACGAGAATGTCAATTTATAAAAATATATGTGTGCCCAGCAAAGGGGCACTACTTGAAACATATACAATGATAGTATGGTAGCGACTGAAATACTTGCTAGAAATATCGAGACAACAAATGCAAATGTAACTGAGCAAAAAACATAGCACAAGCCAACACAGCAATAACAATAAACAAACAAATAAAGCAAAACAAATTGTGCGTGGAAACATATATATATATATATAAGAAAGGAACGCCACTTTACGCCTGTCGAGTCAGCGAGTGTAAGTTCCGCTCCGTCAGCTTGTTGCTTTGGCCACGCGCATTTAACTCTGGCTGTTGGCAGCTAAGTCACAAAATTAATAGAAAAGTAAATAAAGCCAAATCATACAAAATAAAAAAAATTAAGATTACAATAAAAAAAAAAAAAAAAAAACAGGAATGAAAATTACTTAAATTAATACGAATCGATTGACATTGATCGATATATTTTGTAAAAAATATGCCTCACTATTGCAACTGGCTCAATTTATAATTTTGAAGGCATAAGGGAACATAAATTATCACTATTATACTAAACACATATTTCAATATTAAAAAATTGAAAACCAAACATTTGCGAATTTAATTTCAATTTTAAAAATATTTAGACTGTATTTGGATTGTTACTTTCAAATAGTATTAACTCTTAATTTTGTTTGAAAAATCTTTTGAAACTCCCCATTCAAAGCAAAGCAATTTCCATTCCTGTAAAACTGTAAACAAGACACTCACGTTCTAGCTGAGCTCTAGATTAGTGCTCGATTGTAGTTTGCTTTTCGTGTTAAAATGCACTTACCCCTCTTCTTCGGGCGGTGGCAATTCGTCGCAGCCATTTCCCACAGTATCCTCAATTTCAATGCTGTCCTGCTGCACCACTTGAGCTGGCGGTTTGAGGCCAGTCGGCATATCTGCTGGCGCGGTTGGTTTTCTTGTCTTTTTGGCGCGCTTGATGCGCTCGTCCAGCATGGAAAGATCTTTCTCGTTAAGCTGACCAATTAACTTGTAGATCTTTTCACCGGCCAAGAAATATGCCATCACAATACAGTTGAGCGCCGCATTGCGCACAGAGTTATCGCGATCGGAGATTTGACGCGCTATTTCCTTGAGAGCCACCTGCTGCGATGGCTGGCAAATGCCCAGTCCGTAGTTCTCAATGAGAAATGTCAACTCGTCCAGGCACTCAGTGCGCTGGCGTGCATTTTTGGATTTAAGACCATCCATCACATACGAGAAGACTTTGGTGAAAGGATACAAAAGGTTTATTTGTCGTAGCACGCGACGTACGCCGTTTCGGACAGCATCCTTTGGGTCACCAATCTATTACACAACACCCAAAGTTTAGAAATAGGAACACAAAATTCGTATTGGAACTGACCTTCAACAACAGATGAGGTACAAAGCTGCTGCCCTCATTCTCAGCCATCATGTACTCCATTTCGACCAGCATCTGGAAAACTTGCGCTAGATACTCGAGACCCTTAATGAGCACAGAAGGGTTCGTATCGTAGAAACGCAGTGTCAGCCACTTGAGTATTAAATCGAGATTACAAATCAGCGCCTTGCTATTATTTGGCAAATCCTCGCTCAACTGTTCAATGACTTTCAAATGATAACTGCAATGCATAAAAAAGGTTGTTATAAGTAGCACTTATAAAAAAATAGATTAATTTATAAAAATCCTATTTTACATGAAACCCAAACATTACTAAAAAAACTTAAAAACTCTTCTGGAATAGCTCCAAACGTTAATTGTAAAATTCATATTATAAAGTCAGTAACAAAAATCCGAAGTGAATTCAAAGCGAATATCAAAACCACTTGCAGGAATACCATTAGGAAATATATATATATATATATATATATATATATATATATATATATATATATATATATATATATATATATATATATATACATATACATATTTGGGGATACGTACAAAAATGTCCGGTTTTAAAAAACGAATATAGATTAATTATTAACAACAGATTTAGTGTTGGTTGGCTATTATGGGCGGGCGCAGAGTTAACATACCGAAAGTCGTCGTGGAACATGTTGGCCATCATTGCCTTATTAACATTGGCTGTTGTCATCTGATCGCGCAGCAATTCCGTAAACTCCTCTCGTGGGGTCGTGAATGTCCATTTAAGTACGCGCATTTTTTGCTCATCGATAAGTCGTTGATTTTTGATGCTGTTGACCGCCAGCAGTGGCGACGTATCCACATCCTCCTCCTTTTTCCGAGAAGCAGCGGTTGTTGTT